TGCTTTTTATACCGTCTTCGGTGCTAATACAACGTTGCAATTCGGTATTTTTGGAGGCCAGAAGATGCAAGAGGTATGTGCAAGTTGGATGGCTCATCTTTGTACCATCATGGCAGAAAATTCCACAATTACAAGAAAACTGTGGGAATCAATTCCCTGCTTAAGGAATGTCAAACACTAAATAGGACTGATATTTGAGGTGCTCGCCTTGTTTTACAATATTAGCCTTGTGGGCGTATATATATATATATATACTGATATAAGCCGAAAAGGTTTTTTTAAATGGGAAGCTGTAATGGAAATGTATCGTATCAAAACTTCAAACTGTCAATTTCAATTATTTGAATGTTCTGTGTATATATTATGTGTATAAATTGTGGTTTTTAGTTCCTGTTGACAATGCAGACTACAAAAGAAAAATATTCGCCAAAAACAAAAGCTTCAGCTGCTGACCATGATAAACAATACAGCAATGTGGTTGGAAATAAGAAAAATGATACAGTCAGCCTCAGGGCAAAAACAAAGCCTTGAATCGAATTGCAGAGAACTTCAATATTCAACGTTTTCTAAAGAACTTTGTATGGTTAATGGAGATAATGAAAAATGCTTATTTTTTGGAAATAATCTAACCTGTTTACCATCATTCAAAAATATATAATCAAGTTCAAACTGTCAATTTCAAATATTTGAATATTCTGTGTATATGAATTCAGTTTGGTTTGAAGTTCAATCCTGCTATACATTAATAATAGACAAAAATATAACCATATAGTTAAAAACAATAAAACCAATCTGGTGAGCTATCAATAGAAAAAACTAGGCCTAGCTTTACATTGATAAGAAGTTTAATTTCCAGTAGCAGCACTGATATAAAAAGCAGAATTTGGTATATGTGAAAAAAAGAAACTGTGATTAAATAATCTGTTGCAATATACCTTTTCAGAGGAAAAACAAAACCTTTTCCTGTTTATTTTGGCAAATAAAAGTAAGATAATACTGAGAGACATAGTTGGCTGCTTACAAGCAGAGGATGTCTGATAGATTCCAAAAAGGTCCCAGCGTTTTACTTTCTTGTCAGTGTTATATAACATTTAAAGTGGTGCTTGACGATCCCTGTGATAGTACTTTTCTTACTTATAGAATTTAACTGTCAACCTTTGGATAAAGGGGCAGATTCTTTAAAGAGCAAAATCCATTTTCATATGAAATAAATAAGAGGCTGCTGGAACTCGAACAACTCAAAGAACGTTTCTTATTTATTAGATCGTGTTGTAAACTATATTATACGCCAAAGCTAGTAAGGAAACATAAATAAATTTTTTCCCAATTATTTTCTAATTATAAAAGGGGATAATTCATGTAAACTGTGCCCAGGAAGAATAAAAACATTGTATGAAAAAAGAATACTTTTATTCAAACTGCTTTGCTACATATCAAGGGATATAGTTGTGGAAAGTTATTTGGAATTTTGTTTGCAATGCTGCTGTATGTTTTTGCCAGGTCAAGCCATTATCAAGGGTGACCCTGAGCTTCATGACAGAATTTTTTCATTATATACGACTACCGTCTGCCGAAACCTCGAGTGGAGACCGCGACGTTTTCTGCTACAATACCTATATTTTCTTACTTTTAATCAAATCAGCCATCGTTCCGCCCACTCTAGTACTTCCTCCTTTGCATCTTGTAATCTGACGTGAACCAGATTACCAGTACTTGACTGGCGCAGTGTCGTCAGCATAGAGGAAGACTTCACACGACAGTTGTAGAGTAAAAAGCGAATGAGGGATTGGTTCTAGGACCGAACCTTGAGAAAACGTTAAATTTGATCTGACACTTCCTTCGACGCAGGATGTTAGTAGTTGTTAGAAGCGAAAAAGAGAAACCATTTTGTATTAGTTTATAGAGACCCGCATGCCACACGTTGTCAAAGGTTTTTGAGACATCCAAAAGCAAGATGCAGGTACTCGAGGGTGAATCCTTTGGGTTCATGTTCCACCAGCCTGACTGCCTAAAGCTCGGTACTTATGCTTCGACCGAGAGTCGAATTGAACTTTACGAATCAAATGGTTATCTGACGAGAAAGAAAGGATTGGCTTCATACGAAAACATAGATCCCTTACGCAGTTTAATCCACAAAGTTTAACCTTCTGTATATATTCATGAATCAAAATAGTAGGTAGTAGGGATGGGCAAAGATAACTTATCATTTGGATAACAGGTTTCTTAGATTGGCCTGTTCAACACGTTAATGTGCGGTTATTAGATCAGAAAGTTCAATTTCTTTTCTAACTGTAATGCATATTGGCATCCTGGTTATACCCCCGTATTCATATTTCAATCTCCGATACTTACCACCTTCCCCTCTGTACCGACGTCTAAATTTGTCAATGCAAGTTTTAGAAAAATATCCGATTAATCCACAACTGGCTTTTTATCAATAACCGCCCATCTCTATTAAATAGGGTAAGACGTGATATTGCATCTCTTTGAGTCTATGCTGGTTTCTTTGTTTCGTCCCGTGCCCCCTCCACATTCGCTCTTGAGTCAATCGATTTTAACATCAGTTCCAATTTCAAATTTGTAGTCGGCTTTTTATATCGTATGCTTATTGCAGTGATAAATATAAGTGAAAATGGCAGAACGTGATTTATTTGAATCGGGTGAGCACTCCCAGAGGTCCTCAACCCCTCTACTTCATTTACCAAGAAGGTATATTCGTGATAGGTCGAATCCGCTGGAGTATTATAGGGAACAAGAATTTCAAAAACGCTTTCGATTCACAAAGGATTGCGTGGTTCACGTTCTCTATCCTATGGCCTACTTTCCTTTCATTGCTCAAAGATACATCCCATCCTGAGAAGCCGAGATTACAAGATACTGTTGCAGGACAGAATAATTCTAGTGTAAGGCACGTTATTAGAGGAAAAAGAAGAGTCGATATATTTAAATTGTTTGTCCACACAGTGTTTTGTTTGTAGAGCTTCTAATTTTGAAAGTAGCATACAATATTGTTAACATCATGATGTGAAACATTTGTTTTAAGAGAAAAGAAGAATTACAAATTGATGAAATCTGTATTTCCATATATTTCTGAAAGAACCTAATATATTTCTAAATAAATATTGATTTTACCAATGATGCTTTTATTTACATTCCCCAAATACTTGCCATCTGGAAAGTATAATACATGAAATTGTTAATGAACTCATACGTAGTATGTCAAAACGTATCACCAATCCAATGATGACTTTATATCCAAAAGGTACAACTAATTACAGGAATTATGAATATGTAGCCAAAAAAACAATATATCAAAAATGAAAAACTACAAAACACAATAACCTTTATTCATTTTTAATCTACTTACATAAAATATACAGGGTGTTTTCCAATTGAATGTCTATATTTAAGGGGGTAACTTTGAGTCCATTTTAAGAATATTTCATATGACGTATATCCTAAATCTCTTGACCTTTGAGAAACAGGGTGGTAAACTTTTCAACAATTAAAAAAAGTCTTTGTAAAGATCTGGAATACCACTTTAAATACTTTGTCAAAGTTTGGCATACATGTACATCAAGAGGTATTTGTAATGAAACATTCTTTCAATTTCCACCAGTGGCGTTCGTACGAATTTCACTTGCCTATTTTGGCAGACAATGATAGTAGGCAACCGATTTCTCTTAAAATAAAAATTGCTCTTAAAATCATCAGTGATTTCTGAGCAAATTTTATGAAATTAAAATACTGTTTCTATGCATGATCCTAATATCGTTAGTATCACAATGTCACTATGTATAAATAAACAGTATTTTTGAAAAGATTTTTTTTTACTCAGACCTATGATTTCCACCCAAAAAATAGAAACTATTTCGCCGCATGGTGATATTGACATATTAACAATATTCAGAGACAGTTTTTATTTTTATGAAAACCGTACATCACATTGAGAAACATTCAAGTGATTAAATTTGCTTAGATGTGATTAAAAATTTTAATAAAAGAGACATCAGTGGCATACCATTACTGCCTGTCAAAATAAGCAGGTGAAATTCCTTAATAGCATCACTGGTGGAAATTAAAGAAATGCCTCGTCACTCATGTACAATTAGGAAACACACTGAATTGCAGCTCCTAGTATTACAAGAGGGAAATGCACACTTTTGCAAAAATACGAAATAAATAGAAATCTCTTAAGCTTCGTTTTTTGACGTTTCAGAGCCTACCGATCATTTTCAGAAACATTTTGTATGGGTTTTCTCCGTACATTTGCCCTTACAACAGAGAAATATTCTCACGCGGTCGGTCGGGACGATGCGATGCAACGGCGACTTTAATACGCCGAATCCTGCGTTGCATCGCCGGCAGAGATGTTATAGTATCGTGACTCATGTGTATGACTTGTGGTCCAGCAGCGGTGCATTGCGATACTTAGGGTAGAGAAGAAACTTGTGTTAGCGTTATCAAATGTTTGGCTGACTTGGCCCTTTTAATTTTTTTGTTATACATTTTTATAGCTAGTTCAAAGCTTGGGCCGAACAGAATCCTTTATGAACTCTTGACAGCGTTCCGTGGAAAGTGCAGTCAACCTATTTGACGCGTTTTTTTTTACTTTTGATTTCTATAGTGCGATTCAAACCCATGTGGATGATACGCAGCTAACATTCAATTTTGACTCCTAGCAACTTCAATGAAATGTCTTATAAGGTTAATGTAGATTTAGTCAATATTGAAGATTTTTGTAAGAGGCACTCCCTAAAGATCAATCCTAACAAGTCTAATGCCATTGTCTTTTATCCTAATAATTTCTCAGTCACTGTTGCTAATTTAGTCCAGCTGCTTGTGAATGATACTTTTTGATACCTTTAGTTTCGGAGGCTACAAATCTTTATTCAGCATATGAATGCCACCATTGAATTAACATATCCATCTTTAAAATTATCATATTCGAATCTGTATGTCCTAAACTTTAAAACATATATGGTCTTATTTTGTTTTAGGTAGCAGACATTGAACCCCTTTTTGACAGGTTATTGTTTTTCTGGTCAGATAGAAGGAATCCTCACGAAGTGCAGCCTGCTTACCAAACGAGGTATGCAATCACATTATGGTACTTTGATTCCACCGAAAGAGAGGAAGCTCTTAGGAGATATCAGAAAGACAGTAAGTATTAACGTATATTTGAACAAATAATATTGATAGAAGAAGACAATTACATCTTACACTCGCATGGTCTTTCCTGACATTCAATTATGTTGTTGTTTGAAACTTGATGATAATGTGTTTATGAGTTCTCGATTTATAGAATCTAAGCTATTGCTAAGGCTCATACGCGGCATGTATTATCGTTATCGATCATTTCACATGAATTGAGATATGAAAGCAGTGATATGTGATAGAGAATTGTATGCTTTATTATATTTGGTGTAAGCTATTCATTTGATATATTATTCATAATGGTGTCAAAGTCGTATCAACCTTTAGCTTAGTGGGAATTTTTGCATACCTAATTTTCATTCTGACTGGAGTAACTAAACTTTATAAATGTCGTTGAATCACACCGGCGTCGTTCAAAAATTATTTAATGAGAATGAAATACAGTAATGTCATTTATACACATTCAAGAAATACATATGTATTATTATTTTTGTCTCCTTGAGCGCATACATATTATTAGTAGATCTGAAATACGATCATATATTTATTCAAATTTTACTGAGATTTCATCAACCTAGATAGTGAATCAGATGATACACATTCCACGATACATACGTTACCACTATACTGATTAAAATTAAAATCTAAAAATAAAATAACAATGTAGTTCATATACTATGAATATAATGACTAACCCTATAAAATTATTACTCATTCCCACTGTTTTATGATTTCAGGGAGGTTGAATCATCTGAAATGACGAGCGTTCTCGCCTAATCTAAATCAATGTAAAAAGTGGTATTTTACCTCTAATTATTTAACAGATTTTATTGTATATATTATTTAGCATAGTGAATTATGTTAAGGAAAAATGTGTGATATTTTTCGATTAACTCATTTTCAATTCAGTTTTTATTTTTTATTATACCATATGAAGAAAATGTATTGCTCTAATTCTTATTTATTTTTTTCTACATGCTCGTTAACTCATATTTATCTTATTTCTCCGGTCACTTTGAATCGATCACTATAATTTTCCTCCTTATTGACCTTACATTATTACTACTCAAGTATTTTGGCTGATAATGTGGCTAGTGATAGTTTTCATTTCATCATGGCGACATTAATACAGACCCTCTTAAAACTGTTTATTATTTAAAGTCAGAAATAAGCAGTGCTGTACGAAATACCCCAAACAAAGTATCTGGAATAAAAACTACAAGAAATAAGTAATCCAGATGTAGTAAACGAAGATTTGCTTCGGCGGTATTCGAACTCGCATCTCCTCCATTCCGTGGAGCAGACCTAACCAATTAGTTTAAAGACCAGCTACCAATCAACTTTCAGGATCGACTGTTGGAGGCAAATTAAATCTTACCTACGCCGCTGTTTCTTTGTACTTTCAAGCTGCTTGATGTCCCATCGGGCGGCGTTCAAGAGAACAAAACCGGGTTGATAAGGTATCTCCATTTGCACGCTCTGCAGTACTACCGTGCGAGGACAATAACCTGTATACGATTTTTCAGATGAGCGCATCCACAATAGCCGGTATGTTTAATAAACAACTCGAGAGAAATAAAAAATATGCGCCGGCATGAGTCGAACCAGCATCTCCTCCAGTTCTTCCTCTCAAATTGTTGTTATACTCGCTGTTGCGGATGCTCTCATCCGAAAAATCGTATACCTGTACTGTCGCACGGTGGTACCGTGGTGTGGGGCCACGAGGTGGCGTGGTGCAACTAGAAAGCGATTGGCGATACCTTACCAATCCGGTTTGTTTCACTTGGCGTGGGTTGGATTTTACTGGCCTGTATCAGTCGATCCTGAAAGTTGGTTAGCAGCTGGTGCTGTAAACCAATTTGTTAGGTCAGCTCCACTGGCGCGCATTTTTCCTATCTCTCAAGTTGTTGTTTACTAAACATACTCGCCATTGCGGATGCGCTTATCCAAAAAATCGTATACAAGTGTTCCAGATACCAAATACAAAATACGTTATGGAATTGTATCTGAAATACTTGATACAAAATAAGTATCTTTTAAATACTTTTTAAAGAAAACATTTTATTGAGTTCAAGTTTATTTCAACATATGAATTATCTACGAACAGATCGCGTTGATTGCGTAAATGTGACAAAATATTACACTTTTAAGGTCTTAATTGATATCAAAGTAAAAAAAGTTCTTCAAACATTTTGTTACCCTTTTTTATTCATTGAGGCCTCATTATCGTACTCCCAAAAGAGAAGGAACAGAAGAGTCACTCCACTGGAAAAGAACTTGACGACAGGTTTGAAACATATTTTTAATATGCTTTTATTAACTTGATCTGTATCTGTGACGGAATCTTTGAACCCAATTTTCGCGCAATAAGTCTGGTTAACTTGGAAACTTGCACAGGCCCGATGACAATACAATAATCTTGGGAAAGAATCGAATATGAATATTTTAATAAATGTGAATTTCAAAATATGGAAAAAATGTATACGAAAATTTGGAAATTTTGAAAAAATATCAAATCAAATATAAAATATCCAAAAATCAAAGCTCTTGATTATAAGTATTTGTGTTAATTCAGGAAATAAATTAGAGTTTAGGAACTGAAAAACATGCTTAAATAGCAAATCTAATAAAGTAGAAAACAATCTTCATGTATAAGAAAGCTTGTGCTACTGCTAATAGAAAGTCGATTCCAACTATCAAGTATGACTAATCAGCTTGGAATAAGATCAATATATAAGATATAAAATAATAGATAAGATATTAACAAAAAATTCATAGTATAAAAGCGTGGAGTGAAATTAACTATCTTTTCAACACCAATTTTTAAATAGCAACTAAAAAATAATTCTAACGTTCAATATCAAGCACCCCACGCTTTTTTGCGCTAATTGAATTTTCTGAAAGCTAGAAATTAGTTGCGCATCCACCTTTTCCTAATTCATCCTGGAAATTACATATGCAAATTTGATGAATGATAGATATAAGGAAAGCAAGTCCTTGATTGGTTAAGTATATTCCAACTTACACTTGAGAAAATATGCTACAGACAGGAATATTTATGAAACGTCCAGATATTATTATATTTTACATTATTTTTTATTTACAGTCGTTTAAACTTTATAGAAATTTGTTTTACGATGTCAACAGAAAATACAAATCAGCGACTAAATTTTTTCCCGTAATGATCCTCAAAGTTTTTGAAAACGCAAAATACGGTAAAATAGTAATTTACGACTTTAAACATAACCTTCTTCACAAAAGACAACACATAAATAACCCGTCTGAGACAGCTAATAGATATACTTACTTCATGGACTGCATATTCAGTAATAATTTTCTCACATTACAAATATCACTGATTTTGTACACATGCAGACCAAAATCTACAATCATCCAGATGCGATCTTGCTACTCAACAAATTTTCTTTTTGTCACATCTTCTCAGAGATATACTGTACCAGACTATCTCGGCATTCGGCAACTAATAAAGCATGCTGGGGAACTGACTTGCCGCATGGTCATTGAGAGTGTCGTTGAGTCATTCCTCTATAGGTGTCGCTGACGATGCTCGTAGCGAGCAAACGCGCAATGAACTATATTCTTGAAGAAGTAAGACTACCAGTATCCCTTATACATACACATGCAACCTACCCATGTGTGTGAACGTTTGTTCGGTAAGCTCAAAGACATACGTTTTTTAGTTGTGTCTCCGTCTCGAAAACTTTGCCATTACGTATGAGTACCCTTCAATCATATTTGTCAGAGTCACAACCTACTTGACATCGGCGTGCAATTCGAGTGGTCCTGTTATCAACCTTCAATATCAAATTGTACAATGCCCGGAAATATGATCAATGGAGAAGGCCGACAGATCGTGCTAAATTTATTAGAGTATTTCCAGGAAGAGAATGAAAACAGCGGTCCCCTGTTACCCACTTCATGCGTACTGGAGAGAGTAGCAGATGTGCTGAAGATTAGTCTGCGCAGTGTTCCGCTCATGGTACGGAGACTCGATCTGCTTACGTCTTTCATATAGCGTAGATGACGTAACCGCCAAGAACGGTGACTACAACTATGTTTGCGCACTAGGAATCTAGTCAGCAAGTTGGCATTTTGTCGGGTTTTTTGAGTTATTTATGTTTTTTATGTAACAACTCTGCCGCAGGCTTATTATATAAAAAAAACTTATATGTAGAAAAAAAAAGATAAAATCTTAACTTGTTGACTAGATAGCTGGTAGTGTGCAAATAGTTCATTCCGCACCTGCTACAAGTCAGCATGAAGTGAACGACAGCAGTTCCTAGTTGATATCTTGTATGGAGCCCTACATAATGTCAAAAAGACGGACATAATATTACTTTCAAGTTGCGTAATACCCCACCGGACACCGGGAGTTCAAAAACGAACGCACCCTTGGTGTTGTTTGTGAAGCAACGGGCAGGTACAGGAACCTCATGATTTTTAAAATACAAATACTCTAGACTGCTTGACCACCGGTACACCTTGGATATATACTTGGACCCGCTTGATTATTACCTAGTAAATTCCGAAATGATAAACGTGATTGCTTGCCAATATAAAATAAAGCAACCGTATTTTTAGATATTCTCTTTGAAGGAACTTTATTGGAAAACTTGTCATTGAACAGTACCACACATGAACATCTGAAGGGCAATTCAAACAAAGATCCTATGTTGGTACATGAAAATTCACAGGAGCCAAACATTCATATTGTGCCCAAATATTTTTTGTAAGCCGTCATTTTTCCATTGCTGGAAGTAATTATTACCTACATAGGTACATAGAGTGCGCTCTTCAAGTAAACATCTCCAAGTATATATATATATATATATATATATATATATATATAAAGAGTGTCCGCAAAGTTGGGGTTTTCCTTTTCAGAAACAACTACCCTTGAAATAACAAAGGTAAAGTGTAGTGGAACGAGGGCGACCAAGTAAAAAAAAAATAAAGGAAAAAGTACTCACTCTCCAGTTGACGAGAAGGGCTAAGTACGTCTCTGCCCGAAATCATACCGCTCCAACAGAAAATGAAATCAATGATGCGCTACCGAGCAGACGCACCATGCCAGCCCAAACATTCACCGAAAATGTTTGTTGAAAATGTGCCCGATGGACAGCGTGCGGATTTTCTACTGACCAAACATGAGTGTTGCGAAAGTTATTCACCCCATTACGTGTGTACGTAGATTCGTCTGTCACCAATATGCACTTCAAAAAGTCCGGATTATTGTCATGTTGATGCAACAACCACTCACAAAACCGCACTCTTGCTGGAAAATCGTCAGGTTGAAGGGCTTGTACACGTTGGACGTGAAACGGATACAGCCCCTCTTCACGCAGCGTTTGCCACACTTTAGTTTTTGATACTTGCACTTCTCTAGCCACGTCTCTAGTGCTTGTTGAGGGATTCTCGTCTACGCGATTACCTCTACACGCGTGACCGTAACCGTCGGTTGAAGGTTGCATACTGACCTGACACACTGACCCCGACCCAGTTCTGTCGTCAGGTTGAGCCAGTGACATTGTACCACTCGGTGATGTCGCGGGTCGCGGCTACAGGACGGTATTCGGATATTTTTGATGTTGCAGAGCCCTTTATCTCGGTTCCCTTAATACATTGGTGTATATGGTACTAAGAAAAATTGCTTATGTTTTCAAGATCTACACGTCATGTAAAGGAAAACCCCAACTTTGCGGACACCCTGTATATATATATATACAATATCCGATCACATCAATATAGTAATATTATTTAGCTTAATATTTCATTGAGTTTTCTAAATACTTGTATAATCATGCAGAACTTAAAATTAAATAAATTACCTGACACACCTTGTTTCTCTTGGTGGCTACTTTCAATACTGTATATATTTACTTACAGCATAATAATTATCTAGGAATGGGGTACAAGATTAACTTTTTCTTTAACACAGAAGCAGCCGCAGGCAAAGCCTAAATGTTAGGGCGCCACCACGGCTGCTATAAGGAGCTTAAAGAAAATTTTGTTAATCCGATTTTTGAATTGCCTAAGGTTAGCAGAACTGGAAAAAGCCTCCTCAAGTAGATTGTTCCCGAATCTCGAGACCCTAGGGGCAAAGGAGTGTTCGTATCGGCCAGTTCTGGATGTATGATGTTCGACATGGTTAGGATTGGAGGCCGAAGTTAGGCAGGTCTGTATGGCGGCGGTAGCATCATGGAACTCTGAGGAGCAAAGCCCGTTGGTGTAGCGGTAGAAGAGAGCTACATCGCATATGGCCCGGTGGTGCGAAAGAGCTAGAGTCCGTTAGAGAATAGTAATTGATCAGTCGGGACAGTCCTTCCTCTGAACAGCTTTGAAATGGATATAGTCGGGGCGGCAGCACACCAAAGATGTGAACAATACTCTTGTCTGGGCCTTGTACAGTGTGACATGTGGAGAAAAGCACGTTGTAGCCCTAAACAAATAATCTATCTTTTTCCCAGCAGCTGCTGCGATTGACGAGATGTGTTCGTGCCAGATCAAGTCCTCGGTGATCTGGACTCCGACCAGCCGAAATGAACGGCTCTTTGGTAGAAGTCGGCCTTCCATCGAAAGAGGGCACTTTTTATTTCTCAAGGTACAGTATTGTGTTGCGTCCCCATGCAGTGATAACATCAAGGTCTCTCATCAGAGAGGAAGTCGCTGCTAGTCTTCTTTTCTCCAACGGCAGAGATCAACTTGTCATTCTGAATGCCTGCTTTACAAAGTATTGCAGTTGATGATATTTCACGGAAGGGAGGGTGCTGAAGGGGTATCTACCGTATGTACTAGGTACTTCTTGAACTCATTATGTAAGCTTCCTGCCACAGTGTAAGAGATGCCTCGTTTACTAAGCACGATAGTTCGCAGGTTTGATCCCAGGAATAAATTTACTGCCTTCCTTCTACACAGAGTATCTCACAAAACATACACACCAAGAGTATCTAATAAATATAATTTGTGACGTCATCATCCAGTTCAAGTAGAAGCTCTTGCTTAGTGATGTAAAACAAAGTCAAAGTCATTATATTAGAGGCAGTTGCAAAATAAGATAAGATTACCCACTGAACTCTTCAAAGAAGATTTGTGCGCAGGATACTTTTTAAATTCCCTTGTCCCAACAGAACTGTTATTTTTCACATGATCCAAAGCAAGATCACTTTTTTGAAAAACCGGGCTTATGTTCTGAAAGGTTTATCATGTATATAAATTGTTGATAAATGTGTACATTTTTATTGAATAAAATTGTAAAAACAAAATGGTTTTGTTCATTTATTTGGCAAAACCTTAAACAGGACTAGTCGATAACGTCGGTGGGATTAACCGTTGTAGTCTGGTGAAATTAACATCGCAAAATCAGGCAAATACCTAGTGGGCAGGCCAAGCCTGGCATACCGACGAATTCGGACTATGTAAAATGAGCAAGTTTACGATTTGTTTACGTAGTGTGCAAGTTCATACCTCAAGTCGATCATGCTCAAGTCGCCAGTTTGACAATTGTTGACGTTCCACATTAACCTTTTTGCGAAAACATATTAAAGTGCGTTGTTTCCATACATTTGTAGTGTTCCAAGGAGCTGGCAAAAATCATGTAAGTTTCTGTGGATTGCAAAAAAAATATACCAAGAGCAAATCAGCGTTGCGAGAAAAGATGTTACCTCAACATTGGGCTTTTGCCTGTACACTTGTGAGGTAATTTTGATTTATTGCATTTCTTGTTTCTTCGAGCACTAACAGAATTGTATACCTATCAACGACATTGAAAAATGTAAAATATTGAAGATAAAAAACTGTGAATACACTTAATTTTTTCATTGGATATAGTGGAAATGATATAGCAGAAATTTTCGTATCATGCTCAAGTAGTTATTTGCTTTTAACCAAGAATCTGCTCGAATCACGACACATTTAAAAAAGCTGAGTAGGTTGGTGTCCAGGTATTCAGCATTGTAGCTGTTTGATGGTTTCGCATTTTTTACCTTTCAAAGTCACGAATCAAATAGAATTGTTCATATGATGTACTGTTGATAAATATTTACCTATCTTTAATGTATCGGTGCTGCTACATGATTGCATAAATCGCGAGCTTCTGGACTACCACGAATGTCACAGCTTGATTAGCGACAAGCAGTATGGTTTCCGGCACCAACGATCCACAGGGGACCTCCTAGCTTACGTCACGCAATTGTGGGGTACTCATCCAGTTTTATGGTGAGGCTCACATCGTTGTTCTTGACATCACGAAATCGTTCCATAAGCTGTGGCACGCTGCCCTATTAAGCAAACTTCCATCCTATGGCCTCCCAGAAAAGCTTTGCAGATGGGTGGCTGACTTTATCTCTGGCCGCAAGATATCCGTCGTAATTGACGGGTTCTCCTCTTCATCCCACAACGTCAACGCGGGTGTTTCCCAGGGATCGGTCTTGGCTCCGAAACTGATTCCTCTTACATATCAATGACCTTTTCTGCACGATCAACTCAATCCACAGCTTAACTGATGACAGCACTCTACATACAGGAATTCAGAGTGACAAGCCGATCTCTGCCGCTGAGCTGGAAAAAAGAAGACTAGCGACGACTTCCTCTGTGACGAGATACCTGGAGGTTATCACTGCTTGGGGACGCAACAATCTTGTACAGTTTAATGCTTCCAAAACACAGTACTGTACCTTGACGAACAAAAAGCATCCTAGCGCTCATACGGTTTCGATGGATAGACGAGTTCTGCCAAAGAGCCATTCATTTCGGCTGGTCGGAGTCCATATCACCGAGGACTTGATCTGGCACGAACATATCTCGTCAATAGCGGCAGCTGCTGGGAAAAGGCTAGGCTATTTTTTTAGGGCTAAGAAGTACTTTTCTCCGCATGACCTTCTCATTCTACACAAGGCCTAGCCTAGAGTATTGCTCACACGTTTGGGGTGCTGCCGCCCCGACTACATTATTTATGCTCGATGCTGTCCGACTGATCGATGACTCTTCTCTAACAACGACTCGGAACCCTTTCGCACCGGCGGGCCGTTGGCGATCTAGCTCTCTTCTACTGCTACACCAACGGTCGTTGCTCCTCAGAGCTCTCTTCCATGACGCCGGCGAGCGATGTGCCAGCCAGACAGACCCGCCTGACGTTGGCCGCTCATCCTACCCGTTTCGAACTCCATACATCCAGAACTAGCCGATACGACTGATCCTTTGTCCTGAGGGTGTCAAGAGTGTGGAACAATCTACAAGAGGAAGCTTTTCCCAGTTCTAATAACCTTAGGCAGTTCAAAAATCGGATTAACAAAATTCCTTTGGGATCATCATAGCAGCCGCGGTATCCCGGTATTTGGGCTACTGCCTGCGCGGCTGCTACGGTATAAAAAAAGATAATGACTGAGGGACTTACATCACCTTGCTCCTTCTACCTAGTCTGAATTTGTTGGTTGGTGTAAACAGAACAACCATGTCACACTTGCAAATGAAACACTCATGAAGATCCATATCACAATTTTATTTGTTTATTCCTCTTGTTAAGTTTCTTTTTAAACGATAAAAAACCGAAAATAAAAACAGAATTGCCTAGCATACAAAATATAATGATATACAACAATACATTTCTACATCCATTGTAGAATCATCACGAAAAATCCTAGAAGAGGTAAATCGCTTATTTCATATTATATATCTCATCAATATTTATAGCACAACTATATAAAGTAACAGATAGCTACTGTTAATGAATTATCACCCATTAGGGAAACAAAGGACGATATTTTAAGAACTTTTAATGTGTACCAATTATTACTTTATTTAAGAAACATTTTACATAGAATGATAAAGATGTAGCTTTTGAGGTAATGGCTGAAATACAAAATGCATGGAAATCTCAATGAGGGCATTTATAAAAAAATATACAATTTTTCTTTGTCACATAGTTTTTAATTTGTTTTTGCCCATCTGAATGATATAAATCAATTTAGGTAAAGACTATATAAGTTGTAAAATTAAATACCAAAAAATGTACAGTATGAAAATCATTGTATCCAAATGAGGTCAGCATAAAATCAAACACTGATAGCTTGTTATATATTTCAAGTTATAGAGTTATTATTATACATTCGTACAGCATAGCCATATATTCTATATTTCAACCATTTTCTATCGCGGGGTGCTTATCTTTTTGCTGCAGGATGAAAACTGATTTTGTCTCATTTCTGATAGAGCAGATTAGTATGAAACCACTAAAAAACCAGTGAACATGTTTTGTTCATTAAGGAGCAGAAGTATTTGCCGACTATACCATATAATACAATTGTACAATGGTATAGCGTATCATGAATGTTGCGTGATTTTGCTGGTGATGCAACACTCCTTCCATCTTGCGCAAAGTACCAGGTACAAAGCATACGGAATTTGATGAAAATTCGTACATTGTTAGTTTATAATGTGCCGATCAAATGTTCTAATGCGCACAAAGCTCAGAAAAGCTTTCTACTCGACACCCTGTAGCTCAAGTGGGGCACCTAAAACTGCCTCGTTTTGACTGTTCGCCCTGTTTCTTATGTGAAATGTAAAATAGACAGTCAGCAATGCAATGTCACTGCAGTTGAACGGCGAAGGTCATTAAAGGCGACCGATAAACTTCAAAGGCATCGATTGGTATACCTTATCCCTGGTACGGTGGCGGCGATGAGACGCGACGCGGTGGTGATGCAGATTCAATTAAAAAATTCCTAAAACAACTATAAGTATGCATACATCTATAAATTACATATCATCCTGTAGGTTACGGTTGGATCAGATGCCGTCGACGGGATCAGCTTCATCCGCCGAACTAATGTCATCGCCGAACTCGATATCCTCGTCGAAGCCTTCCTCCACGAACGTGACCGTTTCATTGATACGGACCGATTCGGGGAACTCGCCGTACGTTTTTAAGTTACGCGCCTCGTCCGGCGTATATTTCAGAATTACGTCCGCTTTGGCGTTTTGGTAGTCTCGGAGACCTATGAGGATTATGTCGCCTTGGTTTATCCACACCTGTGGATAAAACAAAAATATATAAATACGGAAAAAGTATGTCTTAATTTCAACATGTACAGGCCGTTAACTAAGGCGAGGACGAAAATTGAAAGGACCATAATTTGAACTAACATATTTTGTCTTACGAAAAATTTCGTTACGAATACACTGAGAACCAAATTTGTCTGATGGTTTGAGATCAATGGAAATGTGAGAGAAGTGAGGCAGTGATAACTCGTATTGCATAACGTTATTTGTCATATTTTCCGACCGTAACACTAAATGTAACAATAACTCAGGATGTGTTGATTCTATCACCATCAATGGAAATCAAAGATAATTCTAAAATAAATTAACACAAAGTCGAATCAAAATTGAAATAAGTAATTCTAATCAAAATTAATACAAAATATTAAATTAAATGTCAGGGTTGAAAAAAAACGTATATTTTTTTATTTTATACAAAACACATGTTTTTTGTCTTAAACGTTTTTATTTTTTAAATGTTTTTTGTTTTTAAATTTTGTTTTAAACAAATAAAACTTAGAAAAGAGCATTGTTTAAATCATATTTTTTTCATAATATTAATTGAAAATGTTCGACCTATTATTCTACTAAATAATAAATACCGTATCTAAAGTCCGACTCTGCACTAAGGCCCGTATCGTCAGTCGACCCTACAATTTATTGTAGGGCGCGTTTATGGCCTCCTTGATTGTCATACTCCTTTCTGACACTTGTCCCGTGTCAGCGTCAGCGCTCTCCTATTGTGAAGATTTGTTTTCCTTTTAAATTGTAGGACATTTCAGGCTGATAAAACATGATATAACTCAAAAGCAAGCAGTGATCAGCTGTTACGAACTACGTCGAGCCACGCCGCCGTTAGGCTGTGCCGGTGAATCCCCGAAATAACAAAAACCAATTGCAATGGGGAACTATTGACCTGGGGGAACCACAGACTACTATTTATAAATTCGCCTTGCAAGTTGGCTATTGCAATAACGTCTACTGTTGAAAAATGTCGTCTACAGGAAGGAAGGAAGAGGCTATTGGTATGCGGTCCTATTTTGATGTTGTTCAAGATAATAACAAACAACCAGTGACTGCTAAATGTAAAAACTGTAAAGTAATTATGGCTGGGCTAGTGCTGCGTATGAAGAAACATATTCAAAAATGTGTTCCATCTAAAAATTCTCAGCTATCAATGTCAATTAGGTATCTATGATTCCGAGTCAGATGAGGAACGCTAGATGAGATATCCAAAACTCAAAATATTCAAAGAATGTTTACCCAGATAATAATACAGGTAACCTTGAATCATAAATTTTTACCAATTTAAAGACAAATGCCCAAGACTATTTAAAAAAATTAAAGTACGTCACATTTGCTTTGGAGAAAGTCCCAAGAAACACTTGCACTATAGGAGAGGCTACAGAGATATGGCTACAATTTTTAGAAGCATTTGAGACTGAACAAGCAAATGGAGAATTTTCTGTAAGTGATACGAATAAAGTCGAGGAGCGTATGAAAATGGCTTTGACCCCAGCTCATTTTTTGGAAAATTTGTTTGATCACTTTAGAGGCAATAAACTTAGTCAAGAGCAAATAGAAACTGGCATGGAATATGTAGAAACCTATCATCCCGAAACATTGCCAATTATTATAAGTTCCCAGGCAAAGTGGGTACCCTTTAAACCATATATGTTTTCTAAACATCTAATTGAGAATGTAAAACCATTCACATGGTGGCATTCTATGAAACATATAAATACCACAGCCTTGGAACTTGCTCAACAGGTTCATACTGCTATTGAATCGTCAGCCAAACATAGAAAGACTCTTCTCATCATACAGTTTAGTTCATTCAAAACTAAGTAATCAGCTAAGCAAAATCAAAGCTGCTAAGTTGCTATCAACTTTAAAGAGCTTAATTCCATCAGTGATGACATGACTGATCAGATATCAGATTGATGACTTAGATGACTATGAGACTGAAAGAGTGGAGAATTTGTTTACACTTGTATGCAAGATGTTCAAGTTTTTCAATTTTTGCTGTGTTCCTATTATTAATAAATAAATAATATTTATGTTAAAAAGTTTGTATAATGTATTTGAGAACATTTCCTATTTTTATTTATTATATTTATAAAGAAAATGAAAAAAACGCTTGTTTAATTTAAGTGTTCTAAACTGTTTTAAACATGTTTAAAACAATTGATTAAAACAAAACGTTTAAAATGAAACAACCCTGTTAAATGTTCCTCCTTCTTAGGTTTGTCAGTGCCTAACCTAAAGTAGCAGCCTGTGTGAATATCTTCTGGTGTAACATATTGGCAATGCAGCAGATTGAACAACCTTCTGCATCACCATTGCTAGGCAATGTGATGATGACCTTCTCTTTTCAGTTGGCTTCTATCTCTTTCTAACATAAGTTGATACACACTTCTCTCTTGTACACATTGAACTCATGCTGTCAGACAAATTTGGTTTTCCATGAATAAGTATAAGTCTCTAAGAATGATATGTCTTGGAAAAAAATGTTCAAGTGGGCGCAGGAATTCACTTATTTCGTCCGGTTCCGTTCTAACTATGAAACAATGTGTAATAGCAAGTAAGCTTTATTGTTACAGGTAATTCCTGAATAGGCTTTTTACTGATGAGGTTTAAATTTTACCTACCAAATTTAGCAAAAAAAAAAGATATGAAATATGCAATAATTAAATATTGCTTATGGAACCACTATCCAGATGCCCTTGAAGTCATCATCAAAAATAAGCTAAGGCATGCTGCTTGCTTGCTTGAATAACCCCTTAATTGAAATTTGATTTCTTAGATTTTTTAGTTAGTTAAATTTCACACATACTTGTATTTTTGTTTTTAGTCATTATTAGGCAAAGATACTATAATTGGACTAAATGCTATGGTACACTGCCATTCAGGAACATTCTTCACATATGCCTTGCCATTGTTTAGCAGCCTAGCTGGCTTAGCAAAATGTAATGATGAGATATAAAATTAACATGTGTTGTATTATTCTAGATCAGGGCTGTCCAACATACGGCCCGCGAACTCCTTTCTTGCGGCCCGCTTCACGAGTCATGTATACATCACATGAATAAATTACTCTCAAATACCGAATATGCACAATTCTTACATTAACGATAAAATACAATAACATGTGACGCCACTGGCGACCGATAGCAGGCCGCAGCGAATTTACTTGAAATTGGACCGATCTCTCGATCATCCCCGAATATTCGAGAAGCCACGGGCGCGTATTAAGAAGGTTGAATCAAGCGGGACAGGCAGTTTTGTTCTAGTGCTAGTGCGTTTCAGTACACAGCAACTCTAAAGCCTTTTAAAGTGAAATACTCCGTGAAATATGTCTTCACAGAAACGAAAAATAACGAACGAACATCGAGTTTATAATGACCGTTGGGAATCAGAATATTTAATCTCAAACAATAATAATAAACTTCAGTGCATTGTATGTATGCAAGTACTATCGGTTCCTAAAGAATATAATATGAAACGACATTACACTACGTTACACGAGAAAACGTTTCGGCAATTTTCAGGGGACTCGAGGCAGGCTATCATAACGGAATACAAGAAAAAACAACAAACAAGTTTTATCAAAAAAATCTGACTCTGATAACAAGTGCAGTATTGCCGCCTCTTACAAAATAACGCTGGAAATTGCCAAAGCAAAAAACCTTTTAGTGATGGAGTGCTTATCAAAAAGTGTGCAATAGAAATAGCGAAACAATTCAATGAATTAAAAGTTGCCGAAAAATTTGAAACAGTGGACCATATCAATGAACATGTATCCAAAAAATTGCGTGATGTGGTTGAAAAATGTAAATATTTTTCGCTATGCCTGGATGAAAGCACTGATCTGTCTGACATTAGCCAGCTTGTAATTTTTATCCGAATTATTCAAGACGACTTCAGTTTAGCAGAGGAGATGCTTGACCTTATTCCTCTCCATGGTACAACCAAGGGTACAGATATTTTTGAAGCTGTGAATAAGTTGGTGTCAGATTACAGGGGATTTGATAAATGTTCCTGTATTGTCACTGATGGCGCCAGAGCTATGACAGGGACTGAAATTGGATTTGCAGGACTATTGAAACAAAATAGCTTCAACTGTCCTATGATACATTGTATTGTTCACCAAGAGAGCTTATGTGGAAAATCTTTACGTCAAATAAATCTCATGAAAGTGGCTGTTAAAATAACTAATATTGTTATAGAGGGCAATCGTGTTTTGACTCACAAAGTTTATTTGGCCGAAGTGGATACTACATATGGGAACTTGTCCTATTTTCCTTAAAAATGAAGTGGAAAATCATTTGATGCCATTTGGCAGATGCACAATTTTTAGCAGACCTTGCATTTTTAACAGACATGACATCTCACTTTAACGAATTGAATTTGAAGCTACAAGGAAAACAGCAGAATATTGCCAACTTATTTGGACACATAAATGGGTTTAAGAATAAAATTAAGCTTTTCAAGTCTTCATTACAAAAAAATGATTTTTCATTTTTTCCAAGTTGAAGAGAACATTTCGAATAAATGAAGGAAGGAGGTTTCATATTTACCTCATAAAATACATTGACACAATTGCAGAAGACTTCAAAAACCGATTTAGTGACTTTAAAAAAATCGAAAGTGACATTTCAGTTTTTACTCAGCCACTAACAATTTCTGTGCAGAACATAAGTAGAGCAGACCTTCAACTGGAATCGTGTGATTTGCAATCAGATCCTTTTTACCAAGGAAGAACTGAAACTGGCTTGGACTTTTTTAAGTTACTGCCAGGAGAACGATACCCCAACTTGCAAAACTTAGGACTTACAATGGGATCAATGATGGGAAGCACGTATCTTTGCGAAAACAGCTTTTCCAACATGAAATTTATCAAGTCAAAGTATAGATGTTCCCTCTCTGATAAGTCACTTACTCAGTTACTTCTTTTATCAACAACAGATATTAATGTTAATATTGATGCATTAGTATTAGAAAACCAACATCCTCAAATGTCCCACTGATTTTTTTGTAATTTCATATTTTTTGAATAAATAAAAATAATATAAAAACTATTTTTGTATACCATATAGTATAGTATATACCTATTAAAACTCAGTAATAATGTTGTATAGAAAAATTTTATAATGCGGCCCTCCAAACTGCATTTTTTTTAAGGGGCCCTTGGGCCACATTAAGATGGACAGCCCTGTTCTAGGTAATACTAATACAGCCACTTTTCCTTTAACATTTGATTTGATGACAGTTATCAATATTTTTTATACATTTTTTTTTTACTACTACATTACTACATTAAAAATAAATCATCCATGAATTGAGTTGTTGGCCAAACCTCAAAAGTATAAAATAGGAATTTGATGTCAAATAAATCCATGAACTACTTCATGCAATTAGAACTTGGTCTAATTTTTGCCATGCTGGACAATTCCATGGTGCCAACATTGTCTACCTTTCCATTATATTGAACAATTTTCCAATTAGAGTATAGATCTTTGATAGAACAGTATGGTTTCCGTTTATGATATTTGCCTCAAAATCAAAACCACAACACATACATATAAAAAGTCAACATGTTTCTAGCAAGATTTTTTTGTGTGATTGGCAGCACAGTTTATGGTCAGATAGCCCATGAATTTGTTCAGTGATGTGAATACTGCAAAACATATTCAGATTGACCTTGAAGAAATCGATCTAAATAAATCATGCTGTAAAATGTGTAAGCTTTTGATCCGAGTGTGTGTTGAATTGAATACCAAGAAAAAGTAAAGCAATTACAAATTAGCTACAAAAAATATATGTATCATATCTGGTCAGATATATGTGTAATTTAAATATGGACAATAATACAAACAATACAAGATGTCATTTAAAACACATTACTACAACTAATAGAGAAAGTAAATAGCAATTGCTAATGATTATTTAATAACAATGAATATAATATGACAAACATCAATTACATCCAGAGATATGTAACAAGTCAGTTAAATAATGGTATATCTTATTGAGCTAGTGTGCATTTGCTACAGCAATACAAATTTAGTAAATGATATAGATCATTTCTTACCTTTTTTCTGAGTTTTCCTCTGATGTGACATAACCTCTTCACTCCATCAAAGCACATAGCTTCTAATCGACCATTTCCCAGCATTTTGGTTACTTGGGCGTACTCCTGGCCATCTTCCTTGAACACCAACTCACGTTTCTCAGTTTCGTTCTCATTTTTACCTCTCCTACGATTCTTACCTCCTTTACCTATCATAGGGATGACTGATGAGTAAAAGTATCACATCCTAACAATTTGTTTATGTGTTAGTTTGCCAATAAGGACGACTTATTTGGACCTACTGAATAACAAAATAGAGAAAGATGAAGCATACATCTACATTTTGTTGTAACATATTCATATGATGCTATTTGGATGTTAGTGATATGTTTTGGATGGGTCAAAATATCCTCATTTTATTTGTTCAGAGTTGAAGGATTCAACAGATCCGATACTGTAAATTCCACACCATCTTATAAGAACAAACACGTCTTCAAAATTAGCAAAAAGAACGTCAATCAGCTAAATTTGTGTAGTGATTCATAAACCCCAATTTCGAGGTCTCAGCGATCCCCATTCTGCTATCTCATACCTAATTATGTCTTCCAAACGTGATTTTATCAATCCGCAAAAATCCAAATAAATTTACTAGAAAAACCAGAATGTCAAATGTGGCCATGCAGTGCAATATGTCCATGTCTAAATATTTACACAAACGTTGTATCCTATGTTTAATTTGGCTTATGAATTACCTTTATTCTTCGGCATTTTAAACTAGTGTTGCTGGCAACTTCTAATTTTGCGGAATATTCGACGTATTTTCACTTTCAGTATGAAAATTTTAAGAAAATAAAATCCTGAGGAACCCTGACAATCCCGTTGACGTAAAGAACTCTGGGTAATTTATGTTTTTTGCGCATGAGCAGTAATACCAACTTGCCCTATAGATTTCCTTTTACAACGTTGTCGGATTGCCAGAAATTTTTGCAAGTTTGAACATAAAGTGATACAGCCTATTATTATAGGCAAAGGATTTCATTGTGAAAACGATAATAAAATAAATGTATAATTTAAAAGTTAACTCATTCACAATGGAATTTAGTATAGATATTTATAAGTAATATATCATCTAATTTTTCAGAAGAAATCTAAAAAACACGTTGTTAAATAATATTTCTACAAGAAGCATGAGCGCTGGTGGGAACAAAAATCCGAGTCGCTTTGCTTATTTTGGATGACATGGGGGGTAGGGGAGTATAGATGATGATTACGTCATCGGTAGTTATTTACTTTTTTACACGAATGGCAACCCTCACATTGTCTTTGCTTGAAAACGAAACGCATTTTCGGGGATTCCCGCAAATAATGCATACGTTTAGTGAACAGCGCGCGGTAATTCCCCTACTCGCTTTAGAACCGAGTAGGGGAATTACCGCGCGGTGTTCACTTGTCTAAATTTCCTCTATCAGTGTATTGTTTCGTTTGGATACTATAGCGAGTAGACGTATTGTAAGCATAGTAAAGCAAGTTAACATTTGAGTTAGCATTGATTCCATTAGCCAAAGCTGTTTAAATAAGATGTCGTTTCACATAGACAAATCCAAGTTATACCAAAAATTGTTTGAAAGTTTTAAAAAATCTCATACAAGTATGAAAGTACAAAATGTACAAAAGTTAGTTAACGAAGTGTGGCGAAATTACAAATTACAAGCAAAATCCGACAAGGAGATATTATATATTAGATATTATTGTATCTAAGAGAATCGAAGAAGAATTGCAAATGGCGACTAAGAATAAATCCAATCTACTAATTTTTTTTTCTTAGGTGAGTGATGAAATCATTTTAGGTACCTATGAGTACTAGAAATATTAGAAATCGCCAAAAAGATTCTCTTTACTGATTAGAAAATAGTATCGCCTATCTCAAAGTATAGAGGTAATATTCGTTATATTATAGATTTATTTCTTATGATTGATGACGTCAATTGGTCACAAAGTACAGGATGTTAGGTTTATACATATATACAGAAAACTAACACCCTGTATTTTGTGACCGGAACGAATTGCTCGTTTAAACATATTAGATTTAAAACCATAGGGTTTTGTATTTACCATATATATTGCCATACTTTGTATTTATTTAGCTTAAGAGAATCTTTAGCAGAAGCCATAGAAAGTTTTTATTTTTAGGCAACCTGTAAACCTGCAGAAAAAACACAAATTATACAATCAGCTTCAAATATTCAAAAAGAGGAAGAAGATAAAATAAAACCCGGTAATGAATCACAACAGCAATGCGAAATTAATGAAAATATAGATAAACAGAGAGCAAAACCTTCTCAGGAAGCTATGAAAAATAAGATTGCACTACTCGAAAAAAATCTGAATGCTTTGTATTCTGCCAGAGATACTATGCCAAGCCGTGCTGAAGTTGATAAACAGATCATTAAGTTGCGCGAGGAAATAAAAACAGCAAAACAGTCTTTAAACAGGAAGGTTCAAAACGCAGTTGCCCAGAAGAAACACAGGGATGGTATGAAAAGAAAGTTAGAAGATATTTGTCATGAAAATCCAGAAATCAAAAAAAGACTATCTCTGAGGGACTCAGTGCGACGTCCTAATCTTGAAAGCAATCAACATCCACTATTGAAAACAATCGCGGATATAGCTTTATTTGGGAGTGCAGCAGATGATAGAAGACGAACGGAATCAATTTGCAGCGTAAAAACTCTTGATGAACCCACACAAGAATTACGTAAAATAGGATTTGACATTAGTCGCAGTGGGACATATCTTCGTTTGATTCACAGAAAATCTAATTCTGCAGAGGGACGAAGACATGTATCGACAGTCCCTGTTAAGCTCACTCGGGTTCAAACTGATCACCACAAGAGCCACTTAGATAGCAAGTTCGCTGAAACAATCCATTATTTAGAGAACATAGCATCCATATTTTTCATATCTGAAGATGATAAAGCTCGAGTCCCTATTAGCGTAACTGCGGCAAATAAGCAAGCACCTCTTCTAATGCACATGGAATATAGAATCAAATTGCCTGATCACGATTGGTTAATCGCCGAGCGTCATAAATTAATACCATCTGTTCAGGCTGGTATCAAAACCACTTCCAATATGCTAGGACAACGGCAAGCCGTTGGATATTCTGGACCAACGCTATTCGAAGTGGAAAGCATAGTGCATCTACTGCTGATACTCATCAGGATTTCGAGACGCTTCTCGAACTTGAAGAGTTTCGACCATTAGCTAAAACTGACCATGGACTAGTAAAACCAGTGGTAATCATGACGGTTCATGGAGGGCCAGATGAAAATCCACGTTATCAAAAAGTCATAGGGTTTGCTATACAACACTTCAAGCGACATGATCTCGATGCATTGTTTTTAGCTACCAATGCTCCTGGAAGAAGTGCGTATAACAGAGTAGAGCGTAGAATGGCTCCTCTTAGTCGGGAACTGGCTGGTTTAATATTGCCTCATGACCATTTTGGGTCTCTTTTGGATGAACCTGGCGTTACAATTGATGAACATTTATAAAGATCTAATTTCGAATTTGCAGGAAATGTATTAGCTGAAGTATGGAGTTTAATGGAAATTGATGGCTATAATGTTAATGCAAAATATGTTGGGGCAGGTGAACAAGATCTTCCTGATTTTCCAGACATTAAATGGTATTCAGAACATGTGCGTGAGAGCCAATACTTGCTTCAAATTGTAAAATGTAGAAATACAGAATGCTGTCGTCCAAAGAAGTGGCCTATTTAGGTTAATAGACAATAGGTTTCTTCCACCACCTGTAAAAGTAAAACAAACAGTTGATGATTTGGTTTTGGATGAAGGAGGGCAATTTCTTAGTCTTCTAGTCAATTTAGCTCTACGCTTAAGTGCTTCACTCAAAGATTTCCTGCAAATGCCCTACGATTATTTTTGTCCGACGGTAAAATTGAGGATATCAAGTCGAACATGCAAAACGTGTGGTCTTTATAATGCTTCCGGCAAGTCACTAAATCGTCAGATCGAAAATATCCATAAAAAAGTAAACACGCACGCTGATAGGAAAGTTAGACCTGTAAGAGTCGCTGCTCGTCGTGCTAATGAACTGATGTGCATTATTCAAAATTTAGAGCACCATCATTTTGAATGGCTCCATGAGAACGACATAGACATTCCAAAATCCTATTAAAGCGAGCAAACTCACAACACTGAGCAGCAATCGAAGCAATCCAATGTCATCGAAAACTTAGACTCAACGATTCGGGTTTCATGGACTGAAGACTGTTAATTTGATTTTAATATATGTACAAAAAATTTAAAATAAGTTTATGTTAGTAAGATATAATATTTTTGTCCTTTACTCTATGTTGAATACCGTATCAGTAAAATATAATCTCTATCCTAAATCTATTTTCTTATTTTTCAAATTATAATAAATTATAACGTTATAATTATAATATTAAAAAAACAATACATTAATCGACAAGTGTTTACGTAAGCATGGGGGGAGGGGGTAAGAGATTTGCTTACTTTTGCTGACAAGGGTTATGGGGGGGGGGGGTAAATAATTGCAATAAATCTGCTTACGTAATACTTGAACGGCCCCTATTTTAATTTTTAGTGACAACAGCTGTCAAGTTTAGCCGCGGGAAAACTGCTGACAGGTGCTGTCATATGATTTTTCCATCTAGAAACCATTTTTGCAATTGGTACAAATTTGGACAAGGGAAATAGTCAATACAACCTATAGAAGAAACGGTAGGGGCCTTTCTGTTGACAACTCCTGAACGAAAAAGTTGAAATAACCTTTTGACCAGATTTTTATAAAGCATGTCCTCAAAAAGACTACATAGCGGTCAAAAATAATAATTAAATGGTTCACCATTGCACCACTTTCAGTGAAAAACACAACCGTAGATTCGATAGTTCGGGATCGGGATTTTTCTAAAATTTCAGAAAAGCGGAAATATCTCCTTAGCTTGAACAATTGGATTCCGGTTAAGACATGTGGGAGCTATAACTGGATATTAACTAAGGTTATCTAATGATCTGGCTTTTGTTCAGTCACCCTTAATTATTTACACCCTGCATTAAGCTTTATTTGTTTTCCCTAATACTGCTAATAAAAATTTAACAAAGTTTGCATTGAAATAGCTCAACAAATATTAGGATACTTATGTAGCAATCAATCAATTTGTTGTACATTTTTGATGATATTACGAACCGCCCATTCTTTTTACAATAGAATAAACATTTTCCGGAAATGAGATATTGTTATTCCTGAAATTGGAGTACAAATTATGTTTTGGCTGTTAAACCCTGAAATTTCGGTCGGTTTGCTTTTCTACCTGCTAATCATTTACCCATTCGTAAGTTGAAAGCTATCGATTGGATTTTGACGAAATTTTATCAAAAGGTATCTTGCCAAGCGGGCTTAAAAGTGATTTGGTGGCGGTGGAGTGAAAGTGAAAGACGAGGAGGTAGATCTAAGGCGCACACGATGCACTTTCCGACTGTTCCCGGAGAAGTGAGCGGCCCCAGAGGTGGGTCCAGAAAATTCGGCGACAAAGTCGGCGCGCAGGTATCTCGCTATATTCAAAAGGATGCCACGTTGGCATGGGCGAGCCATGTGTTTTGTTGTTCCATTCCTTACCGGCTCTCGAGTATAATACTCCGAGATATAGACAAAGATAATATTGGATAAGACGTGAATTAACCTATCTCTTGAAATACTCTGAATTTTGAAACTTTTCAAGTGCAATTTTTTTAGTTACCTACGCAGAGCTTTGTCCCCATTTAACTGAATTCGTATCTCTTACCGTTTCTGAGACCCCAAAATGGTAACAGTTGAATTTGAAACGGCCAGCATAGGTATCTAGCAAAGCGGCAACCACGTGTAACTAAAATTTTCATATGTTCCTTGAAGTTTGACAATTGTAATAATATTTTAGCATATATATAATATACATAATCTTTGTGTATCACAAAGTGGGATCTATTTGACTGTGGTTATTAAATAATGCAGGATTTATTGCGGAGCGATCTGGCAACAGCGCAATAAGCACCTTTTGCGTTTTAGAGTTAGAATTTTATTCGTGTAAAAGATGGATTCCTATCCTCACGTAGGACAACACGAATCCCGTGCAAAACGGATAAAACTTGATCTTGGCGACTCTAATATCAGTGAATTGTGCAACGGTGAGGTTTTTTCTTGCTTTTCCACTACTACAACCAGCCCGATTGACGTATCTGAAGGTAAAAACCCTAAAATACCTTTGACTGTTTAGGTAGCTTTTATCGCATCCAATATGGCGGACCGAAACAAAGGAGAATCTGCGGACATTTTGTAGGCGTGGTGCACTCGGATGCCAAAGTTCACTTTTCGAGAAAATATCCAATATTCTTAAAAATACATCATATTTATACCCTTTACATCTCTCATCATCCCATTTATTGCCATTTTCATCGTATTTTTATAAAATTTTTGGAGCAAAATTATAGAAATTATTGGAACGACTTTGTGTTTTTATTTACCTTATTTGAATTATTTTGGAAGAGCTGTTGGTGTTGGAGAAAATTTAGTTGCACAAAACGTATAAAATTCGATTTTTGTTTATATTTTGCCAGAAATTTAACCATCTTAACGAAGAGTGCGCATGCGCAAATGTAATGACCTTGAATGTTCATAAGCGGCAAAATTTGATTTCAAATACGATGTTAAAAAAAGTCGAAATACATTTAGATCTTCGCAATTGAAACATCGATAATAAAGCAATTTTTTTCAGCAAGCATTTCTACAGGATAAACATGTATAGTAGGGTGATTCATAACTATTTTCGGACTTTGTCGCTCTTCTTCCAATACCATTTAATATAGCAAATATAGCATAAAAGGTCATTCTGTGCATTTTTCAGATGTTCTGACAATAATTGAAGGTCGCTCAAGTCAAATTTGCATTTTTACTGTCTCTTATAAAACCAAGAATATTAAAATTTAGTAGAAAACTGTTTAAAAATCGATAACACATTTTTTGTAAAACATGAAACTTGTTTACTGACATAGATGGCGCTTGGGGTTGAATATTGTTTATTTCCCGATAACCTTTAATTTTAATAAGCTTTTTTTTACAAACATAGTTTCATCCACTTATTAGTAGTGTGGAATCTATGAAAAATAAATAATTTTATTGGTTTTTTGGCCAATAGTTTCAACCACTTATTAGTAGTGTGAAAGCTATGAAAAATAAATAACTTTTTGGTTTTTTGGCCAAGCTGATATTTTCCTAATGAAAATGTGTTGAGTTGTCCATTTAAGGCTGGGCGCATACATTCATTTTCCGTATACGGTTTCCTAATCAGGAATTCCAATTCGGAATTCCGTGAGCCTAGCGCAAACGTTCAATTTTTTGAAGTGAATATTATGCTACCAGTACTTTCAGTGATGGCTCTGTGAATGCTTGACGATGGAGTACGACGATTCAATTGCGAGTGCACTTCTATTATCATTATCAAAAAAGAAGAAAAAGAAACGTCGGTATTGGGTGCATCCGTTAAACAGTCGGAGAATCTACGAGAGTCCATTTTATCTAAAAAGAGCAAAGTTACGGCACATCCAGATAAATTCTTTGATTTCTACAGGATATCAATACAATCTTTTGATGAACTTCATAATACATGATAAATTAAGGAAGCGAGATATCTGTATGAGATTATCTCTTGATTCACAACATAGATCTACAAACTGAGGGTGCTGTTGCGTCTTGTAGAACTTCCGATTTCACTGTTTTTTCCCTTAAAACTTTTAGAGGGTAGTGTGATAGATTATTTAGAAACAAAAAAAGTGAGGATGAAGCACGCTTTTAATGAATTTTTTTTCCAAAACACTATTACTATTTTTAGCTGTTCTTTCCACCGCCATCTATCTGCCGTATGACGTAGACGTCTGTGCATATGTCATATCTGAGAGGCGCTTGCCTGCGGTGTTGCCGGATTGGGCTCCGCATTTAGGGAAAAATATGAAAAGTGGAAAATTTATATACATATACATATTAATGAATCACAAAAACGAAAAACTAAAACAAACAGTAGCAAAATAAAAGACGATTCCTAATAAGTATAAATCAAAAAATAACAGTGGTAAGCTAAAAATGATCAATTATAAATGATTATAAAAGACAAAAAATAAAAAAGTAGTAAAACAAAAAAAAAAACAATTCCATGTAATTATGAAAAACAAAAAATAACAAACGGTAAAATAAAAAGCAAATCTAAGTGATAACAAAAAATAACAGTAGAAAAAAAGCCCATGTAATTATAAGAAACAAAAAATAACAAAGAGTTGAATAAAAAGCAATTCTAAGTGAAAACACAAAACAAAAAGTAAAAACAGTAGTAAAACGAAAAACAATTTCATTCCATCCAAATTGCCTTTTATTTTACTGTTTGTTATTTTTTGTTTTTATAATTACATGGAATTGTTTTTTGTAATACTACGTTTTTTTTGTTTTTTATAATCACTTAGTATTCCTTTTTATTATACTGCTGTTTGTTATTTTTTGTTTTTATAATTACATGGAATTGTTTTTTGTTATGCTACTTTTTTTTTGTTTTTTATAATCCCTTAGTATTGCTTTTTATTATACTGCTGTTTGTAATTTTTTGTTTTAAACTTTGTAAGAATAACTTTTAATTTTACTACTGTTGTTTGTTTCAGTTTTTTGTTTTTATATTTCATTAATTAATATAAATGTATATAAATTTTCCACTTTTCATATTTTCCCCTAAATATGTAGCCCAATCCAGCAACACCGCAGGAAAGTGCCTCTCGTATATGACATATCCACAGACGTCAATGTCATATGGTAAATGGCCGAGGAAATAATGGGGGGCAATAACTGCTAAAAAATACAGCGTTTTGAAAAACAAATTTCATGAAGCGTATGCTGCATCCACACTTTTTATGATTTAAAATAATCTATCAGACTACCCTCTATAAGTTTCAAGTGAAAAAACAGTGAAATCTTGATGCAACGACGTGACGTCCAATACGCACGGCACTGAGCGGTTCTGGATGGAAATTTCCGACTGTGCGGCAGGACATTACAAATGTATGCCAGTGCTGCGTTCCGCGTGACGTCACTAGGTTTTATCCGTTCCGTTTTTACGTACGTACGGAATGTGTTCCGTTCGGAAAAAACTAAAGTGTGTGGCAGTCAATGTATTTTATTAGCGTTTGATGCTTTCGGGTCTCTGAATACGGAAAACGAATTCGGAAATCGAACGCGGAAAACGAATGTATGCTCCCAGCCGTAAACCTCTAAAAGGAGAACTCATGAGTTGTTTGGTTAGGAATGTTTCAGTATTGTGAAAAAGTTGCATTATTTATGTTGACATAACATGGAGACAACTGTTTGTGTACACCATATCCTTAAGGTGCTCTCAAACATCTAGAATTTGAGTGTTTATAAAAGTCTTTATACCCTATTTCACGAGAATCCATCACAGTAGAATGACAGTGGATTATCTAGTAAATCTCAAAATACCCCATATCGGCACAAGATACATAATTCTGACTGATCCGTCCACGTCAGATAGTCAGAGCTGCATTTTGTTTTGGTTTTTTGTAAGCTACAGATTCATTTTGTACTTGCTAACAGTTCTTTTATTTAGAAAAGTTCATTTGCATACAAAAAACAAAACGCTACAAACAAGTTTTACTAGATTTACACGCGATTCACTGACTAATACAAAAATGTCACTTCCTGATCAGCTGTTCACCTCAGTAGACAAAGTTGTAGTGATTTTAGAGACGTGAGGATCACAGTATCAAATCTGCTGAAGCCAATTTACTCTTACAACAATACATGATTTGTATGCAATATAAAAGTATTAATGATTATAAATTAACAATATAGATTTGGATAGTATTAATAATAAAATGGTTAAATGGTTATAAATCATGCATTATCATATGGTAATGGGGTTTATCCATATAAATAAATAAAACATGTAATAATAATTGTAATTTTGCCTCTGTTATCATTGAGTCAATCTAAAATCCCATGCTACAAACAAAACCTTTAGATGCAGATTATGTTATATGCTTTAAAACTATATTTTGACATATTTTAAATCAACTTAACCTGAGCATACCTGCATGTTTTTCAAAAAATTACTTCAAAAAGAGTACATCAACTCTCACAGCCTTAGATATTTTCTTTGAAATCAATATAACTTTGATTAGAAATGACCTAGAGACTTTTATATATGAATGCTCAAATTGAGAGCACCTTAAACCTATACTCTACAAAAACACTTTCCTCAATATTTTTTTTAGAAAAAATTATCACCTTACTTTTTAAATATACTCCTTAATAAAAAAAAAATAACTGGTCTCATTTTAAAGATTCTGGAATACATTTTCAGAGATATTTCATATAGAAAAGTATCAGCTTTGGTACTAAAACCAGTGGCATGAGCAGTAAAAGCAGTAAATTTACCAATTTCTTATAGTTTTAACACTATTAAGTGAAACTTTGTTTTTGTCAATATGACAAAGGCTTATTAAAGGACATCTAAAAACAAACAATCATGTTTTAGAAAATTTTTGCATCTGTTTCCAGGTTCCTTTTACGGATTGATATTCTTAAGAAACTATCCTCTTTAGCCATCAGCTTCGCGCTAATTCGTGCATAACGTGACTTGGAAACTGTACACAGTCCCTCAAAAACAGTGGAAGTGATCTCTGAGAAAACGTGTATTCTAAAATAACTTAGTTCTTGTACATATAGGTACAATAAATGCTCCTTTACCGTTTATAGAAGGCGCTGACGATGTACATAAAAGCTGGAGCGGTTATGAACAGTCCGAGAACTATCAGAATTTTACCAAAACCCGAACAGCCTGAACCCAGGACTACGGCAACAATTATTATTTTGTTTAGTGCTTCATGTGGCGCTGGGTCTTTAGAAAGTCGATTTGCTGGATAAAAAATACCTTACCTAAAATGCTAAACAAACCGTTTGTCAGGAACAGTTTCCTCAAAGAAATTATTATTTTTGCTTACATGTTTGAGAAGCTCTAACAAAAATAAGTTGGGACTAACTACTTCAGTTCATCATCACTGTCAGACGACGCTGATGATGACGAATCAGAATAAAAAATGATCTGCATTGAATCCATTTGTCCCCTTTTCTTTAAATTTTAAATAAACACAATAAACACACTCCTCAAACAGCAAGTAAACAGCATTTAAAGCAAAACACGTCAAATAATTTTAATGACATTGGCAGAAGGAATACAAATGCGTGAAAAATCTGAACTGCTTGAATGATTCTTGAACCATCCTAGAACTGAACCAGGATATAACTCGAACACCAAATTTCAGTTCTAAAACGGTCCGGTAGTAATCCAACAGAAACCCGAACAGGTCGGTTTCTTCTGCGCATGGTCCGGATAGTTCTAGAACAGTAATGATAAAAACCCGAAGATCTATAGAAGCTTGGATGCCTCAATTCTAAACATATAACCTTGCGAGTTTAATTCGCAACTTTTGCGTGGCACTATAATGTGTTTCCGGCTGAAAGGCATCAACTCAAAATGTTGTACATGTAGCATCAACAGGTCATGCAATAAAGGCAAAAAGTTTCTTAAACCAATGAAACCAGTAAACAGTAACTGAAAAGTATGAAGTTTTAATGTGCTGCCATGACGAAACTAAAGACACCTCAAATGTCAAAATACATTGAGCCATTTGAACTGTAGCCTGTTAAGTCGAAATTTGCAAAAAGTAATACTACACATTGATGGCAGAGTAATTTAAAACTAGGGTGAAACCGTACCCGGTAACATGGTCAGAGTATGGGGTATGAACTGAATACTCCGTGCATCTCTAGTTTCTGCTACAGAAATGTAAAAATAGTTGTTTTTAGGGAAAATCTGATATTTGCTCAACATTGATAAATGTATAAAATGAGATTAACCTTTTGAAATTGTCCCATTCTCATTCTACTTTTCTCTTGGACGAACCTGGCATAGAAAAAGTGATGGCCCTGTCGTTGCACTCGCTGCTCACTGGCGTACACCTGGTGTATCAAAGCAAAAACCTGCAAGGTGGCTCAAGCATTCGGATTACTTGGAGGGGCATATGCACCCTGCTGATCATGCACAAGGCAAATACAGCTCTTTAGCATCGAATCGAACTGCGTATGAGAACTGGTCTGTACGACCGCTCCTTGTTCCTGGAGAATCGAGATTCTGGAACGATCTGCCCCATGCCGTTGCCCCAGGTGTCTTTGGTTGTACTAGCGTTGAACAGTTGAAAAAGTGTGTCAGTCATATATTCTACGTCGTCATAGCAGTAACAGCTCCACGGTAATGGGGTTTCTGCCTTCGCAGCACAGTATAAACAAATTAGTATCAAAGACAAAAGTGAAACTTGTTTAAAAAAACTATACAATACTTTTATGCTGTGAAAAATCATGTCTTGATTGATTTTAGTTAGAATTCTATCTATAAGTTCAGCTGATTTGGGTGTCTTTAGAGTAGATAATTACGTTATCTGGACCTTGATCATTTTGTTTTAACGGTTTTCCTGGACGAATTTTACTTCTATAGTACTGAGCATTATGAGTTCATGCCTCTATCACCCCCCACAACTGAAGACCTTTATCTGCCCCTCGGAAATAAATCAGTAACAAAGTAAAATAACTTACAAATTCCCATAACTATCGCAGAGTTGATGTCATTGATTTTAGCTGTTTTATCTAAAAGTTAACGGTCACTTGATATCATCTATATAACTCACCAGTCCTCATTCGAAGTCCACACATCTGCTTGGTACGATCCTTATCTCAAGAATGGCGTCATGTACGTTGATTCTGCAGTTCATATGCATCGCCGTGATCAGTTCTTAAAAGATTAAGTTCAGCACAAGTTAAACGCTTTAAAAAAATAGACACGAATTACGAACATGTACGCTAGAGAAATTAACAGGTTAAGCGCCACGGTGGACACCGGTGCCCGATTTGTGTTCAGCCTCCTTGGCCACGGCGGACACCGGTGTCCGCATGGCTTTCAAATTTTTATCATCTCCTCCCGGCCAGGCGGACACGCTTTTATGCGGTTTGGCGTAGTAACATGTCTGCCATGGCCCTGCAACATAAAACGCTGACACCAGGTTTTATGTAGCAATGTTTTCTAGATAAATCTGGTGACATTCTTATTGTAATATCAAATAAATATTTATATATTTATTTCAGTTATTTATTTATCTATGGAGATAAAATAAACATTTAATAAACAAAGTATATTGAACAAAAAAGTTTTGCAAATTCATATCTACATTTATTTCGTAAAAATTTTAACGAGTTTTGTGTACTAAATTAAAACATTCCAGATAGAATCTAGGGTTATCTTCGCACTGTGCACAATAAATGATTACTTTTTTAACTTTTTCAATAAGTCCATCTTGTTTTTCGTTGCAACAACCCTTGCAGTACCGTCTATTTTCCCGTGCCTTACAATCCAGTTTTAGTAATACGTGAGCCCTCAAATTCACTTTTACAGGACATGTACGGTCATAAGTGTAGCCATCTTCGAATTTCAGCAATTGTTCAACAACTGCATTCCGAAAATTATTTATGGAAATGTCGCTCTGTTCGATCTCCCTGTAAATAAAATGGACACTCACAACTGAGGTACCTAATAAAATTTCAATAGCAGCTTACTTTCATAGTCGTTTTTTCTCTCCAGAGTTAACTGCAATATCTTCTTTGATCGTCCATTCATTGTTATTTCAAAAAGTTTCACTTTACGCTCAAAACTTCAGTAAAACGGTGCAACACATCACACTCGAAGCGACGAAAAACTAATTAACAACAACCTGTATCGTCAAGTAAAGATAGATCGGCTCGATCGTCGGCCACTCTGGGAAGTATCGTGTCCGCTCGTTCTAAACATTTTCGGAGGGCCATGGCGGACACCGGTGTCCGCTTTATTTTTTTTAAATCTATACGGAAAAAAAACAAATATCGAGGATTTGGGGTTAACTAGACGTAAATTTTTTAAATTTGTTAAAATATCACATTGGTCCAAGGACATATTTTGGTGGAAAGTCCTTGGCGCTTAACCTGTTAAACTGATGAAGTCTGTCAAACAGCCCCATACAATTGGTCCAGGCATTATTTCCCTGCCCTACCGGTAGTTACCGTCCATCTGGCAACATGGCCCCTTCCCATATCGTCAGACGCGGCAGCATCCACCGAAACAGCGCCGATGTATAAGCAGATCGTTACGCCGGGCGCTGAGTCCAGATAGCAGAAGGGGACGAATATGGAAAACATTTCTCAATTATTCCAGTTTTAAAGACAAATGTACGGGGAAACCTATGATGTGTGAAATATCGCTACTAGGTGCGTATAATTGTCAGGGTTGGGAGCGTATAAATATACTAACATCAACAAATTCCGATATACCCTGCCCCCACCTCACATCTAAATTGTTTTTGGAAAATCAGGACCCTCTGAAACGTCAAAAAACGAAGTTACATCGATTTTTACTTTTCTCGTTTTTGGTCTTTCTCCGCCGCCACTGGACCGATTCTCAAAAACTGCAAAGCTTTTTCGTCATTGGCATAGTAGTAAGCCTCTATGGAAATTTCAAAAAAATCCTAGCAGTACTTTCCAAGTTATAGATGGGCCATGGATTAGTGGACAAACAGACCGACGGAATTGAGGCCATGGTTTTTTGTGATGTTCACCTCATATAGTAATTGTTAATAAACTGATTTTCCTTATCATTGCACTAGCGTTAGTTTATTTAAACAATAATATGAATTATCAGGAGTTGTATAATAATTAAAACACTGCATCTGAGAAAAACACCGACAAACTGAAAAAAAAACACAATTTCTATGGCATTATACAATTTTCAGCACAAAAAGGTTTATGGGTCGCTGACATTTTGAAAAGAACCGAGCAGTTGAGCTTAACCGCGTGCCATTAAGTTACTTTCCCAGACGCTTTGGAATTTTGTTAATGGATCTTTGAAGAATATTTAGGAACATTGACAACATTGAAATTTTCCTTTCTTATATTGATTTTCGGGGTTGCATTTTTTTAAATATTGTATCGCTTATAGCTCCAAAACTTTCAAGAAAAGTTCTAAATCACCTTTTTTCTTCAGAATATCCCAAAATACCTAAGCGCAATTTGACTGGGGCGAAAAAAAATTGTAACTCATTTAAAAAAATTGTTTATGAAAATGTTGACGCAGATTCGTTAAAAGAGGTCTTTTTCGAATAAGATTATGCAAAGAATACCGAATCCGAATATTTTTCCCATCAGATGCGAAGATATTGCCCGGACTAGTAAGTAGTAAGTCAGAATCCGAGGTGAATTAGTCACTAGAGGGCTTTTGAAGGTAGTTTCAAGGTCGCGTCAAGGACACATTCACAATCAATGTCTAGGAAGGCATTTGAAGGATATTTTAAGGCCACCGAAATTAATGGTAAATTCAAAAAAGTTGTATAACCGTTTCCGACAACCAGGGCAGAACCTGATTAAAAACCTCTCTGAATAATACTATCCTTTTAATTCACGTTATAGATGAAAACAAGAGTAATTACGTTAAATGAAAATTCTTACTCTTTTTAATGATCCATATTCAGATGTTCAAATACAAACGCCGTTAAAAAGTAGTTTCGAATTATACATTCGCAACTTCAAGCTTAATAGCAGGTATGTAATGGTAAATGTAGTGTAAGCCAACTTATTGTACTTATTGTTCAACTATGAAATAGAATAGGTATTTTAATTTTCGATACCTCGTTTTCTTAATTTTTGAAAGTCTTTAGCACGCCAACCTCGACGTTCCATAGGCTACAATTTTCACGAGAGTGTCTGTGTATAGCTAGCACATATCAGCCGATGAAATCAATCATGGACCAGCTTCTGGTAAATGTAACCATTCATTCATAAGTTGATGCCTAAATTATTTTTGATTGCACAGGCATCCATTAGTGCAGCCCCGTCATTAAGTTCTATTTATGTGTGTAATTACAATAATGGCACAATGCTTAAGTTCGTCTCGTCTTTTGCAGGTACGTCATCAGCAGACTGCGATTCCGGCTATGAAGCGAGCACGATGGAATCGATGCCAACGCCTTCGAGGCGTGACTCTCCTGGTAGGGCAGGTCTATCTGCCGATGAAGCTGAAAAGGGTGAGTCCGTAGAAGACGAAGAGGAGGATGACGATGACAATGCGTCTACCGTCAGTGAATTGAGCGGATTGAGCGACCTCAGCGGGCAGGATTGGAAACCTATGGCGGGCAGCATGATATGGGTAACTGTTTTTGAACCAAATGCATGATGAATTGTGTGAGGCATTCACGGCTGTCCACTGAATCGCCAAATGCTTTTGGGCTATTAGGCCGTTGTCTTTTATTTTGAACGCTTGACTGTTATATCTGCTCCCCTCGTTAAACAATTCATCACTGCACGAAGGGAGGCTTTTCAACAGATCTTCACAAATAGCTAAATAACTGTAACAATTTCCAACAGATTTCCGACTATTTACACCAAGGATTTACAAGATATAAGCAAAAATAGTTGAGTTAATTTAGAATGAGCAACCCGTTGGTTGGTGTTCATGTAGCGGATCTATCAAAGCACAGCGTTGCCAGATGGGTCGGACAGAATTTCTCCAGCACAAGCACAATCATCCCTCAGAACTGCTACATAAAAAAAAACAAATCAGAGTTAATTAAACGAAAGTAGTAGGTTTGGTTCAAAGAGCTTGGGGATGCTTTCTAGCACCATTGGTACTTACAGGGGTCAAGTTTCGGAGTCGTTTTTAAGGCAAGAATAGCATTGCCGGCGCTTCTCCTTGTATATGTGTAGGTTAGATGGCGACTATCTTGAAGTTCGATAATAAATGTTTGCGTGAAAGTTGTTTAGCTTGTTTTTTATTGAGAAATTTACTGAACTTAATTGGAACACCCCGCATGTTTTCAATTTGATTGATTTGTTAGAATATCCTTTTAATAATCCTCTTTCTTTATAGATTCAACAACAAATGCAGAAAGGCACGAATCCCAGAAGCCTTTTATCCGATCTAGGGGTTGATTACGATCAAATTCCCGAGTACGTGGATGACGTGACCATCTGGAAGATCATCATCAATATGTTTGCAGAACCACCTCGTAGAAACAAGTTGAGACATGTGAATACATTGGATGACATTATACGACTACTGAAAGGTAACTATTAAACCTACTATATAGATGATTACATACCAGGTTTAGTCCAAAAAGCAGTTTCGATCTAGTTCAGAGCAAATGCCGAATTATTTTGCAGCGAATGCTCGATGTAAGTACAGTTCAGAACTAGTCCTAATTATTCTGTTGTAACAGAGAATTTTATATGGCTTTTTGTTTGTGTGAACATAACCTTGATTGAAGTAAGATTTAGAATGATCAAGTTTCAATGTAAGAGACCTGGAATTTGAAAGAATTTTTATTGCTTTTTGGGATACTGTTTAACACTAAAAAAAATGGGAACACCAGATGGTAGATTTAACAAGATCTGAGTAGTTTGGTGAAATATTTTAAAGAAATAGGAAATTAAGTGGAATGTTAGCTATTAATTGACTTGGAAGAAATTTATAAGGTTAATATTACCAATAACGTGATTCATTAAAATTATCAAGGCTTTTTTCTTTTTTAGTTTTTTTAACTCGTATAATCAGCTCAAGATCTTCATCCTAACTTGAATTTGTTCCAAAGATATATTCATTGTCACCCATTTTTGCATATGTTTTATAAACGCCACCCCTAAGGGATTAAAGTGGGAATTCATACATTTTTGTAGAGAATTTAGAATATTTCAAATTAGTTAGCCTGAAAGTAAGATTATCTTTTAAAAATGGATTTTGTAACAGGGCTAAGACCATATATTATGTATGTACCGGGTGCGCCAGAGAAACTTACTTATTTGAAAAAATTCCCGCGCGGTGAGCTGGGCGGGTAGAGGGGCGAGAGGCGGCGCATCTGGAGGGGGAAGTTCCCAAGTTTATTTCTCGCTCCAGTCAGTTGCCATCATGCTCTGGTCTAGAGAACAGCGGGCCTTCGCAGTCGAGAGCTTCTTTTCTAACGGTCGCTCAGTTGTTGCTACGCAACGTGCCTTCCGCGCTCGCTTTGAAATTCCTCCTCACAGACTCGTTCCTGGCCGTAATTCGATTCTGTCGTGGGTTGACTCATTTCGGGAGTGTGGAAGTGTCGCTAAACCCAGAAATGGACTTCAACGGACCATCAGAACTCCGGAAAATGTCGAAAGAGTGAGGCAGTCAGTTGTGCGTTCTCCCCGGCGTTCGGCTCGCAAACACGCAGCTGCTATGGGAATTTCTGACACTACTGTTCGACGAATTCTCCATGAAGACCTCCATTTTCATCCCTATAAATTGGCTGTTGTTCAAGAATTAACTGAAAGCGATTTTGTTGCCCGTCAAAATGCATGTGAAATGCTGGTTGACAACCTGCCTGAAGACGCGGTCGTTTTTTTCAGTGACGAGGCTCACTTCCACATTTCCGGCTGCGTCAACAAGCAAAACATGCGTTATTGGTCTGGTGTGAATCCACGTGAGCTTCACCAGAAGCCACTTAACTGTGAGCGAGTTACAGTCTGGTGTGCGATGTCGGTAATGGGAATAATTGGTCCTTATTTTTTTGAAGAAAACGGATGCGCAGTTACCGTGAATGGAGCTCGTTACAGGAACATGATCGAGGAATTTTTTCTTCCGAGACTCGAAGAAATGAACGTTAGGAACGTGTGGTTTCAGCAAGATGGAGCCACAGCACACACCGCACGAGACTCGATGAATTTGTTGCGACAACATTTCCCCGACCGCCTCATCTCTCTCAGAGGCGATCTCCAATGGCCGGCACGATCTCCAGATTTGACTCCCTGCGATTTCTTTTTATGGGGTTATTTGAAATCTCTGGTTTATGTCGATCGACCACGGACCATAGCACACCTCAAGAACAACATTCGCGACGCCATTGCCAACATACCGATTGATATGCTGCAAAGAGTGGATACGAATTTCAAAAATCGACTTCATCAGTGTATGCGCAATGGAGGTCGCCATTTATCCGATGTCATTTTCAAGACTACATGAAAAAAAAATTGGGATATTGTATTCTCGAATAAAAAAAAAATAAAACAATAATTGAAGTAATTTTGTTTTTATTGACCTTTCAAATAAGTAAGTTTCTCTGGCGCACCCTGTATATGTACAAGCGAAAAGATATATATTAATCACGAAATGTCGGAAACTATTTGATCTACAAACATGAATTTTAGCAGGGAGGTAGCTTATGGACAGGACATTTCAGCTAAGAACGGATTTTGCAGCAGGCTCGGATTAAGGGATTAAAGAGTACTTTCAAGTTTGCTTGAAATTGCTTGGTGTTTTCTAATATCTAAAAATTGGCAATGATGGGGTTCTGGTTAGTGTAGACTTGAACTAACAATACGTTGTGTTAACCGGAAATTGGCAGATAGGTAGCTTTTACAATGTAAAATTCAGTTTAACTTAAAAATGGTAATATCCATTTATTAGATTTCTGCCCCGTGGTTTTAGCCTCGCAGGTAATAGGAGGCTCAATTAACCCATTAGCTCCTAGCGCTACATTTATGTAACGAAAAATAGTCTTACAAATGCAACCCTTCTTACGCGTGACGTGAATGCTGGGCTGCTAACATCTACACCCGCTCAAAAAGCGTTGATCTAGAACTTTTATTTAGTTGTGTTTATCAAGCCTCGTGTCGTTGTTTCCAAATATCGCTCCGCCAGATTTTGTTAGTTCAAGAATGTGCATCAAAAATGGACTTCATCGATAAGGAGTAAGTATAGTTGTTAGATTCCATAACATAAATTTGATAAGAGTTGCAAAAGTAGCATCTGTAGATGTGGTGTAAAGTATTGTGCCATTACCACGTGAACTTGTTTGTTTTATACTTGCGTTAGTAACCCGTCAACTTTGCAGTTACATATACGTAACGCTAGGACATAGCGTGGTCATTTTAGCTGCTTTTATGTCATTATCAGTCTTATGAATATTTGTACTTTTTTACGCAACATTGTTCTTTCAGGGGACTTAAAGGTATCCTACAGAAGGTGGTGACTGTTCAAGAAGCCTTAGATATAGTCTTTGGAGAAAATGATGACTTAGACAACCCTGTAGAGGCAATTTATATTGCGCCACCGGAATCTGCTGTCCTGACTGATGAAGATTCAGGAGATGAGGACGAAGGAGGGGACCTAGACCTGAAGTTAGATTTGCTGGAGGAGTGACGTTAGAAGATACTCATCCCGAACATACAGACTCTAATGGGGATGGTTCTTCATCAAAAAAGGATTCAACTCCAGCTGATATGGTATACCCAAAGACTTCTGATACTCGGGAGTGGATTTCGGGAGACTTCACTTAAACAAACGGCCATTTCCTGAAGCAGATTACTCAGCATTCGAAAACAAATCAGTTGTAGATATATTTGAACCCAAGAGTGTCTCAAGAGAAAATGAAATGTTCCATCGGTATATTACTTATTAGCGGTTATAACGATCTGCCCAGTAAGCGAATGTACTAGAAGCAAAGCCTTGACACCAGAAATGAACTTGGCTATAATTCTATGAGGCGTAACTGATTTGAGCAAATTTTGAGGTTTCTACATTTGGCATCTAATGAGAATATTGACAGGAATGGCAAACTTTGGAAGCTCAGACCGTTTATAAACAAAATAAAAGACAGGTGTAGAAAGTATTTTGTTCCAGAAGATGATCTATCATTTGATGAGAGCATGGTCAAATATTATGATAAACATAGCTGTAAACAGTTTTTGAGAGGCAAACCTATAAGATTCAGCTACAATGTTTGGTGTCTGGACACCACAATGGGCTATTTGGTCGATTTTGAAATATACCAAGGAAAATCGGTTACACCTGATAGCGTAATAGAAAAGAACTTAGGAAAAGCGGCAGCACCTTTGGTGAAAATGCTAGAAGGGCTACCCGATAATATCAAGTCCTTTCCATTCTCATTTTATTTTGATAATTTATTCACGTCCTTTAGTTTGTTGTCGTACCAGCGCTTGAAAGGATATGGAGGAACAGGGACTATGAGAGATAACCGTATACCTAAGGGCTGTCCGTTATTGGATAAGAAACATCTGCAGAAAAAGGAAAGGGGGTATTTTGAAAATGTAATCAGTAGGACTGATGGTATATTAGTGGCAAAGTGGGCCGACAACTCTGTTGTTTCTGTTGCTACAAACAGATATGGCGTTACTCCTGCGACAAACGTCAAACGATATTCGCAGAAGGAAAAGAAGCACATACAAGTAACTCGACCGACACTACTTGCTGAGTATAACAAAAAAAAATGGGTGGTACGGATCGGATGGATCAAAACATTGGTCAATACAGGATTCAAATCAGAAACAGGAAATGGTACTGGTCGTTATTTACATGGCTTCTTGATGTTGCAGTCAACAATGCATGGTGTTAATATAGAAAAGCAAACAAATCTCAAATCCCTCAAATAAACTTTAGAAGGACCGTCGTACAAGTTTATCTGAAGAAGTACTCACTAGCACCTAAAGGCGGTGGAAGAGTTGCATCGCCATCTTCCTATGTACGAGCGGTGGTCGATGACGTTAGATATGATAGAATGGATCACCTTGGAAAAAATTCCTAACAACAAAAGAAGACGTTGTGCCGGGAACCTTTGCAAGAGCTCAACGAGGACTCAATGTAAAAAGTGTAATGTAGGCCTGTGCATCGACTGTTTTTGTTCCTACCACACAAAACGGTTTATAAGCTGACCATCTGGATTGGGTTTATTTGAATAAATATACATAGAACTAATAAAGTTGCATTTTCTTTTTTTATCTCGTAAGCTTCTAGTGTTACAAATATGTAACACCGTATACTGAGCGATCTCAGAATCGGATCGCAGAAATTCCTGCCATTTCATAATCCGGTTTGATATATTGCCCAAAGAAAACCAGTTTTGTGAACAAAACTGAGAAAATGTTAAACCAAATTTTTCAAGCATGTAAGTTGGCTGTCGATTTACTAATGCGATGCAGTTATAGCAATACTCATATTTGAGTAGTAATTTCGAACGTATGAAGTCGCGGGTAACAGCTAGTTGCAAACGTGGTTTGATACGGCAAGAGAAACACGGGATAATATAAACATTAATATAAGTTTCATATGTTCTATATCTATGATGATGGACATTTTATGTGAACGTCCAAATACAGCATTTGGTTGAGCTTCTTGGAGTACACGTTAATCACTATACACGTCTAAAATATAGCGAGTATTTATTTATTCCAGGTGCACAGAACATCATAGTGCTGACAGGAGCCGGAGTATCCGTGTCTTGTGGTATTCCAGATTTTCGATCCAGGGATGGCATTTATTCCCGACTGGCCATCGATTTCCCCAACCTTCCAGACCCACAGGCCATGTTCGACATTAGTTACTTCAGCCAAGATCCCCGACCGTTTTATAAATTTGCCAGAGACATCTATCCCGGAAAGTTTCAGCCTAGTCCTTGCCATAGGTAAGTATTGCTGATCCTGTTCACTGTCAACGCAGCATTTTTGAGGTTTTAACTTTAAACCCATATGTATGCCCCCACCATTGTGTAAAAGTTTCAATGATCATAAGTTAAGAACACTAAAAACATGCAACATTTCGCGCAAGGGCAATAACACGTTGACCAACGTCTAAATTTGAAAAATTGAAGTATTGCGCAGTTATTTTACTCGCGGATGTTCAAAGATTATTAATGATATTCCGCACCTGACGTACAATATTATATTGTTTAGTTCTTTTTTGTTCTCTTGAAGGACAGTTTTTGATAAATGTATCACAAATTATCGACTATGTGATCTAATAAACCCTTTATACAAGGATAATTTTATGTTATGTTTTTGTTATATACTGTATCAAGGTCAATTATCACAATATAGTCTTAAATACAAACTTCAAGCATTTTGTAATTTTTCATTGACTTTTATTTGATTTGAATCCCACTGATCGCATAATATAAACGTTTTTATATTGCAGATTTATAAAATTACTAGAAAAGAACAAGAAACTATTAAGAAACTACACGCAAAACATCGACACATTAGAGAAAGTGGCGGGAATTGAAAGAGTTATTGAATGCCATGGATCATTTGCGACAGCAACATGTACAAAGTGTGGACATAAGGTACAGTGCTGTTTTCAGTTTCCTTTGTTTTTATGGTATTTCAGTCAATTGTTTATGAATGAATATTCTCACATTTTCGTTTACGTTTCGGTTTATTTTACAATAAACCATCTTCTAAAATTTAATGATCTGTAAAAGTTCACACCGCGTAATAATTCACATTGCTTGCGTGGTTGTTTTAAGCTAAATGATTGCTATCTCAGACAGAAACTGTTGTTTATTCTACTGCTTTGGTATTTCAGTATTCGTCCTCTGGTAAATTTTGAAATGACGTGTTCCATCCAATGGAACTTTTGACCAGGCCTTACATAGTAAAGAATATCTGATTGACGATCATTCCCTTGTAGATTTCTTGTATATATGTGAATGAATATTCTCACATTTTGTTTTACGTGTGAATTGTGTGGTATCTGCTTTTACAGACCCTTAAATTTTTGAAGATGGTTTAGTGTAAAATAAACCGAAACAAAACAAAACTTGAAGTCCAACTGTATGTGTCATTGCTCAAAATGTAACAACAGTGTGCTGATAAAGTGTAAAGCTTATGCTAAATTGTATGAGAATTTAATGTCGATGTGCGGTAATAAAGGATGTTTAGTCTGTCATTTGCCATTAATGTAGTATTTTGTGATTCTCAGGTTAAAGCCGATGCAATAAGGGACGTGGTACTTGCTCAAAAAATACCTCTTTGTGAAATCTGTCATGTGGATCATAGGGAAACGTCAATTTCAACAGATGATTTCAAAGCTGAAGAGGAAGGCAGGGATTACAGGTATGTTTTCAACATAACATACAATTTTTAGCATTTTTACAGATGGAGATTTCATACAATATAGTAATAGTACAACTGCACGAAGTTATGCGTGACTTAACCAAGGGACAATAAGTTTGTTTCTCATGAGGATAATAACTTTGACAATCCATTAAAAATCAAAAGGGCGATTATATTAACTAATGTTTGTTCCGTGAATAATAATTAATATTACAAATTTATGTACTCGTATGTGATCATTTTTTCAAAAACTTATACCAGAAACATATCGAAATAAAATGGCGCTTGATCAAGTAATGCTTTCAAAAAGAATGCTTATTTCTGCTTTTGTTCAATGCAAATATTACTTGTCCGTGTTATTCAAAATTAGGAAGTATTATAGCCGCGAACAATTTCGAAAATGAGTGATTAGGTTACTACCACGCCAAAGACGAAAAAGCTTTGTAATTTTTATCACGCAAGTCTGTTTGACTTGAAAGATTTTTTTTTAAATATGGAAAGTTCGGAAAATTAGAAAATTTTAGAAAATTTCGAAATTTAAAAAATGGAAGTACATTTAGATTTATTATCAAGTAAAAAAAGGTAGCAAAAATGGAAGCTGTTGATTATAAGTACTTTTGTTGTCGTTTTGAAAGTAAAAATTCCGAAAATAAATTATTATTATTATGGTTTAAAAAAATTATCAGGAATAAGATCAATATAAATATTAAGATGTTACAAAAAATTCAATTATAGTGTAAAAACAAGGGGTGTTTAATATTAAATGTTAGAATTATTTTTACAACATAGTTTATTGATTTTTTACTATAATTGAATTTTTTGTTTAGTTAATAATATCTTGATGTTTATATTAATCTTATTCCAAATTAATCAGTCATACTTGATTTTTGAACTTTTTATTTGAGTAACATAAACTCTCTTATACTTGAAAATTGTTTTCATCTTTTTACTTCGATTTGATAATAAAGCGTGTTTTTTTTTTAGTTTCTTTAAACTGTGATACCCTTCAAACCCCGCATTTCTACGTGCCTATTAGTTGTATTTCACATATCATAGGTACATTTCTTTTTATTTATTTTTTGAAAATTTGGAAAATTCGGAAAATTGATAAATTTTTGAAAATTTCGATATTAAAATGGAAGTACGTTTTGATTTATTGTCAAATGTAAAATGTATCAAAAATGGAAGCTGTTGATTATAAGTACTTTTATTGTCGTTTTGAAAGTAAAAATTCCGAAAATAAATAATGGTTTGAAAAAATTAATTAGGAATAAGATCAATCAAAGTCGAAGTATTACAAAAAATTTAGTTATAGGGTAAAAACAATGGGTGTTTAATATTGAATGTTAGAATTATGTTTCAAAACATATTTTTTACTATAATTGAATTTTTTGTTAATATCTTAATGTTTATATTGATCCTATTCCAAATTAATTAGTCATACTTGATTTTTAAACTTTTTATTGCAGTATCACAAAATCTCTTATACTTGAAAATTATTTTCATCTTTTTAGTTCGATTTTACTTTTACAATAAAGCGTGTTTTTTTTTTGTTTCTTCAAACTATGATACCCTTCAAACCTCGACATTTCTACGCACCTATTAGACATTTTTCACATATCATAGGTACATTTGTCTCTAAAACTTGGAATGATGGAGAAATGTTTTCGGTACGCGAAGCCTGTGATCTGGGCTCAAGGCCCAGCGTAATGGTCTGCTTGATTGCTCTGACGATAAAAGAAGGGTCGGTAACTACCGGCAGGGCAGGAAAGAATGTCTATGGACTAATTGTGCGGGCCTGTTTGATTGATTGGATATGTTTAATTTCTCTATTAGACATGTTCGTAACTATTGTTTTTATCAGAGTTAAACTTGTGCTGAACTTAATTTTTGATGAACTTTATATGCAGTATCAGTGACCTTAAAATCCCTTTCCAGAGGGCTGGTTGCATCTGGAATAATGAAACCCGACATAGTCTTTTTTGGCGAGGGACTCCCCGACTCCTTCCACACAGCGATGGCAGAAGACAGACGCCATTGTGATCTTCTCTTGGTCATCGGCAGCAGCTTGAAAGTGAGACCCGTTGCCCTGATTCCTGGATCGCTACCACCTAACGTCCCGCAGGTGTTGATCAACAGGGAACCCTTACCGCACTGTAGATTTGACGTGGAACTCATGGGGGATTGTGATGCCATTGTGAACCATCTCTGCCAGCTGTAAGTAGTGATAGCACTGTAAGCGAACACCTTGCAAAAATTCGATAATGGATGCAAATACAGATTTGTAGTTTTTTTACCATATCGAAAAGTTACGGATCCTGCAGTACTGAAAAACTTTTTGATTTGTTTTTATGTTGTTTTGGTCATGTAAATATTATACAGGGTCAGGCAAAATGATTTCCCACATTTTAAGCTTCAATAAAAACGTCATTGTAAATTCTATTTAGATTTTATTTTTATTAACTGAACATGTATACTATGCCAGCTGTTTTTATTAATGTTTGAAAACGAGTCCAAGTGGCGACCATTGTTTTCGATACACATTCGAAGGTGATTTCTGAAAGTTTCCATCACTCGAGCAGTAATTTGAGGCGATATTCCTGTAATTTCTTGGCATGTCGCTGTTTCATTTCATCAATAGTTCGGGGAGACATTCGCTTTCAGGTAGCCCCAAAGGAAGAAGTCGCATGGGGCAAGATTGGGTCGCAGGCCGCCCATAGTCTCCACGTAACGAAATTATGCGTCCTGGAAACATTTCCCTTAAAACGTCCATTGTCCTTGCTGTATGATCCGTAGCTCCATCCTGTTAAAACGACACATCCAGATGTCCAAGTTCTCTAAGTTTTGATTCAAAAAAATGCATAGCATTTCAACATCGATCGGCAGTCACGCCTCCCTCTTCAAAAAAATGGGTACCCCAAACGCCAAAAGATCCAACATCACACCAAACGGTAACATGTGGGCTGTGAAGTGGCCTTTCGTGGAGCTGCCGCGGATTTTCTGGTACTCAGTAGCGAAAATTCTGCGTATTCACACACCCAGACAAATGGAAATGAGCGTCGTCACTCGTTATCAAAAGCGCATTTTGCGGGATGTTTTGAAGAATATCGTTGGAACATGCTCTGCGATTTTCCCAGTTCCGTTCACTAAATTCATGCGATCATTTTATAGGGGTGGAACTTCAGATCGGCGTATAAAATTCTTCTCACATAACGATCTGACAAACGCAAAGCAGAGGCATGTTTAACAGCTGAACGGCTAGGAGATCGTTCAACTGCTTCTCTTACAGTTGCAACATTTTCAGGTGTCCGAACACTTCTGGGTCTACCAGTTGATTTTCTTTTTAAGGCTAAATCTGTAGCTCTAAAATTTAAAATCCACAACAGTATTGCTTTGCGATCTGGAACTGGAGCATGTCTACCAAGCGCGAAGTGGGTACGAAAAGTTCTTTGAGTGGTGATCGCAGATTCGTTACTTTTTATAAATGTTTCGATAACGAAGACATCCGTTCAGCTCACGACGACAACGAAAACGGCAAAGCGCGAGCTATCAACCGACTACGCTAAGATCCCCCTCTCATCAGGGATTTGGGCACAGTGGCGGTGCAAACTGTAGGAGATCATTTTGCCATACCCTGGATATAGAAAAAAGTTGTTAAGAAAATTTTGTAGCTTTATGAATAAGCTAGTTAGAGTTAGAGAAATAATAATTCCTGATATTCCTGAAATGAGGCATAGTGGGCTGCTTGTACAAAGAATCAGAGTTAAGAGGCAGCTTCTCTGAAACATAAAGGTTCCAACTTTAGCTGCATGGAAGGGACATTGATAATTTTTGGTTATTTAGACAATAATTATACTTAAACTTTTATGTGCATCAGAACTTGTCGTGCACACTTATTTTCAGCAGTTTTCAATTTTCTAAAATATTTTGCTTAGTGCAGTCATACCTCAGTTCATGGGAAGTAACAAGATAATTTGGCTGACTCCATCTCTCTTTAGGATAGTCTATACGATTTATCTCTATACCTGATCTTCACTTATTGTATAAAACAATACACCTTCAATAATCGCACGCATGTCCTATTATTAGAAATAATTTTGGATGGGTTTTATTTGTAGCTTGGGTAACAAATGGGAAGAGGGCGTGTACAGTGACACAGTCCTGAGACAAAGCAACACTCTTCTACCTCTAGAAGAAGATCCATATTATCCAGAAGATAGTGATAACGCGTGCAGTTGTCGACAGTTCACAAGTGTCACTAGCGCTTCATCAAGCTCGGCCACGGCGGAATTATACTGCAGGAAATGTGCCGAGAGTCAACAAAAGTCAATTACTACTGGTAAATATTTTTTGACAATTTATTTCATACCTTAAAACTGTACATTAAGACTGACACCAAGGCCTTCATATTACGTTGTTATACTAAAACTAATACAGCTGAAATAGGTGGTAGATGAGTGAATATACAATCCTTGAAACCATAATTCATAAAAATATTCTGTTTTGCCTTTTTGTATATCGCTTCCTTTCCAGTCCATCATTTTTGAGGTGAATTTTTAGGTTTTTGTATAGTTTTTTTTTCTTCTTCTTTTAGTAAGCCCCAAAAGCTAATTTTCTAATTGAAAACTTACAGGTCCTACAAATAATTTCTGTTTTCATAGTTATAAATCACACGTTTTGCACGAGATTTTTGTCAACTTCATGAAAATAACAGTTATTAATAAAATCTGTAAGTTGCACCCTAGCTATTATAATTAGTTTTTAGGATCCTACGCGTGAGATTGCACGATTTTCGGCTAGTATTAAAAGTGAATAAGATTTTGAATAGGAATCCAATCAGGATCATCCTTGTCTGTTAAATCTGCTGGAGCTCCTTTAAATTACCATATAATACGTTTAGATTCTAAAACAAGTGGAACAGATTTTTGCACATTTTGGTTATTCTTCTATCAAGGGACTTAAGCCATAAATCTGGTCGGTCTTTGGACGAAAGATTGTTTTTTTCACCATCATTTTCGAGAATAGCAGGAATTCCAAACAATGAACATATTACTGTTCCCCCTTGTCAAACAACACCGCACAACGGGAAGATTTTCAACGCTTCGCAAATAGCTAAATAACATTAAACATTTCCAACAGATTTTTGACCACCCTCACCCTCAGAAAAGCTATTTAAAAAAATGACAGTTAATTGATGGAAAGAGGTAGGTTTGGTGCTTTCTATCCGCAGAAGGGTTGATATCTGCCAGATCACTATATCTTTAAAAAATTACCCAAGTAAAAATCCCCCAAATTTGGGGGATAATCCTCCAATATAACCCTGTCAAAGCATCACTGGCACTCCCCAGCGTCAAGTTTCGGGGTCGTTTTTACAGCTCGAACAGCACTGCCATCATTTTGCCTTGTATATTGGCTCAATGATACGTAATATGCGATTTGACAATACATGACAGAACTCAAACTGTGGCTTACCGCACTATGTAGGGTGTTTCCATTTTGTTTCAGATAATCTAGAAGAGGGTAAAAAAGAAAGACATATGAGTATAGACTCTGCCAGAGATTCAGGCATAGGGGAAAATAGTAATTTCACAGATAGGTGTGAAGAGTCATCAGACGAGACGGAAGGTGCCACCAGCAGTAGCAGTGGAAGATTTGGGTTAGTTTCGAAAAATCACGAGGTGAAATCATCAGATAGTATGATTCAGGTGAGTGGAAATATGTTTTTTATGTCATCAAAACTCGCTGCATTAGCGCACTTAATTTCGCGTTTATAAAATTTTTGCGTGTCTGTCCACGCTAGTATTCATTTATTGATCCAGTTAGATCTACATTGTAGACATAGGATATATTATGTAGTCCAGGACATATGTTGGCATCAGATGGAAAAATATTATAATTCGATTTTTTTGCAACCTTGCGTGAAAATTTCATCCAAATCCGAGCAGTACTTTCCAAGTTATAGGTGATCCAAATATTAGGCCTACAGACCGACGGAAACAAGTGACTGGTTTCTCGAGAAGTACATGTTATACAGGGTGGTCCATAAGTCCTTTGAAATTTCAAATTTGAATAAAATTTAACGGGTGAGCGTGAGCGGCGCGGGCGAGGTGGGGGCAGTATCTTCAGTGTCTGGGAATTCAGTCGCCATGGAGTGTTTCACTGGAGCGGATCATGCTTTTTGTGTGCGCGCGTTTTATCAAAATAATGATTCGGCAACCATTGCGCGGCGTAAATATCGAGAATACCACAATTTACACAATTTTACAAAGTGTCCAACAGCTCAAACGATTAAGAACTGGGTTGCTAAGTTCGAAGAGACTGGTTCGACATTAGATAAACAGCGGTGGGGTCGACCAAGGACAACTCGTATTGAAGAAAACATCAACATTGTGGCACAGTCTGTTCGTCAAAATCCTACCCAGTCTACTCGTAAGCGTTCCAGTGCACTAAACGTACCCAGAACATCTTTACAGCTGATTTTAAGGAAAGATTTACGTCTGCACGCTTACAAAATTCAGTTAGTGCAGGAATTAAAAGATAATGACGCTATTCAGAGACTAAACTTTGCGAATGAAATGTTGAATCGATTTTCCTCGCTCAATAATGTGTTGTTTTCGGACGAGGCTCACTTCCATTTAAACGGGCATGTAAATAAACAAAATTGCCGTTATTGGAGCCCCGAAAATCCAAGGCGTAAGCATCAGAAGCCCTTACACAGCCCTAAAGTTACAGTTTGGGCTGCTATGTCAGCGCATGGCATCGTAGGCCCTTATTTTTTTGAGGACGACAGATGTCGCGCATTAACTGTTACTTCGGAGCGGTATGTAGCAATGATAGAAGAGTTTTTGACACCAGCGTTGCAGAATTTTCCAGGCTATAATACGCAGACCTGGTTTCAACAGGACGGAGCAACTGCCCACACCTCCAACACTTCTATGCCCGTCGTCTGTCAACTTTTTCCCAGCAAAGTAATTTCTCGAAGAGGAGACATTTCCTGGCCACCACGTAGTCCAGATTTAACCCCAATGGACTTCTTTTTATGGGGCTACCTCAAGAGTAAAGTGTACGACACCACTCCGCGATCAGTTGATATCGTGAAAGAAAATATCCGAAGAGAAATGGCAAGCATTACAGTGTTGACTTGCCGCGCAGTCATCGACAATTTTAGACGTCGTTTATATGAGTGCCGTGATCGTAATGGATTGCATTTAGATGATGTGATTTTTAAAACATAATTCCCATTCAATAAAGATGATAACAAAATATAATAATTCTTCATAATGTAACTAGTTTGGTTTTATTCCTTTTTTTCCAGCTCAAAGGACTTATGGGCCACCCTGTATAATATTCCTTTTTGAAATTTTTCGCGATTACAATACTTCCTTGCCAGTAGGTGTGGAAAGTAAAATGGACCTCAAGATACAGTATCTGAACACCCTAGACAACATTCAAGCTACTTCGACGGCCTCCCTAAACAGTGTCCTGGTCTAGTCGAGTCCAGGGAGCGTACGTAGCTTGAATATGAAGAGAGTGTTATTTCGAAAAATAATGAGTTTCGGTACATTACCGTTCAATAAATTTTGTAAAAAACAAGTCGCCGAAGCAAATAACTGAAATAACCCATCAGGGAATTCAAAAAAGGGAAGACAATTTATTTAAAACAAAGGGTTTACATACATTATTATTATGCAAGTGTAAAAACATAACTAATCTTCATCAGTCCAACATGAATATTCATAAATTAAACTTGACAAAACAGTTTAAAACAACACAAAAAGTTTATAGTTTATATTACCTATAATTATTAACGAATACAAACTGGTATTAAAATATGTACAGTAAACAAAGAGGATAACCTACAAAAAACATAATCACAAAATATGTGTTTAGGAAGTCAATTGTAATATGTACCAAGAAAACTAATTTAGCGGTTTTTGGAATGTGCCAAACCAAACGTGGAAAACACTCTTTTGACAGATTCTGAAAAAGCTGAAGCAGATAACAGTTGTTTAATGGTGGGCAGTACTTTTTGAAAAGCATCGACATTCTGTTGGGATTTCCACTGAGAAGTAGTTATTTTACGGCTTTCAAAGCACAACTCTTTTCGTCGTCTCCTAATAAATATTATCGTTTTATCTAATCAAGAAGATATGCCAACAGGTGATATGGAGTGACATTGTTCCGAGGAAATTTTCTTGCCATAAATCTAGACAACAAATATTTTTGGGCAAGTAGAGAAAAATAACAAGTTCTCTATTGCCATCTCTGAGGACAGTACAAATTGATGAGAATAAAAAAAACACAATTTAATCCAAAAAATCAGATTTTTTTAATTTTCCAAAAAAATCGTGAATTTTTGCAAGTGACGAAATAATACGGTTCATTACTTTCCGAAAAAGCCGTGTAGCTGTCGCCGTTCACTAACGTTCCTTTTCATTCTGACAGGATAACAGCCAATCCCCCACCTCAACAGATCTTCGTGGTTACTGGCAACCAAAAGTGAAACGCAGCCTCGCTGACAGACTGCCTCAAAACGGTTTTCACCTTATTCCTCCGAGCAGATACATTTTCCCTGGCGCCGAGGTCTACTATGATCCCGACGAGAAATTGCACTACGAGGTAGATGATGCATCCTCCATGGAAGATGATGACAGCGATAGAGAAAGGGAAAGGGACGAAGATAGGGATCAGCATATTCAAGATCTGGAACGACAGACCGGAGAGCGGGAAGAGTCGATAAGCATATAAGAAAAAAACCGTGAGTAGGTCTGGTTGACTGTTAAGAAATGCGATATTCGGGGCAAGGCTTGATACGTTTGGTAGTCATGCCTGTATAGGGATAGAGATAGATTGGGCATTGTTAAGATCACATCTACTGACAGCCATGAGAGAAATTTAAACCGCTTTTGAATCGTTCACTGTCACTCTGTATTGAATGCTTCCAGCATGTGATTTGATCTCAGATTATTGGCTCAATGTGTTTGAGGTTTGCTTAGCCACTGTTCTAACCAAAAGTAACCCGAAGGCATCTCGACTCCAACCCGATATCGTCTCGTTTTAAAGTTGTGAAAAACATCGCTAAGTATGTATTTACTAGTAAGAAAGCGAATGACAAATAGACTGTTTTTATTCTTGAAAACATTATTAAAATGAAAAGTATTTGATATGTATTGACTGTGGAATTTTTTATTCACCAAATACTCGAGCACCCTGAAAACTTGGCGACCACTAAAAAAGGTTCTGAGAAAAGTTTCAGGGTATCAAAAAAGAAATTTGCTAATGTCCTGAGATATAACCTAGACAATGACCTCAGAGGTCATTTGGACCTCCACTTTGTAGATTAGTAAATAGCAAACAGCATCTTTGACAGCAAATTCCTATCGAGTTAGAGTGTAAGTGGTTCAATCTGCTTGACCTACTGTAACGTCTGAAAAGTTCGCGAACCTCCCTGAAACTCAGTAATATGCATTTTTTGGAAAAAAGCTTCAGAGAAGAGTTTCAGGGGTATCAGATGTGCAATTTATTGATGACTTCAGATATGCAGATTCACATATGTGAATACGAGTCTAACAACTTATTCTGTAGAAGCAGCCAGTTTGATGTTCCAATTGAATAACTTCAAATAGCACATAAATGTGATGGAAAGTACTTTCATCATATTATCAATGATTTTTGGACACACAATCGAAACGTTAGATGAAGTGTTACATCATTGACATCCACAAGTAGAAATTGGGTTGAATTTGAGTTGCTTTTACCTCAATGGGGTTTCCATAAAAAAATGACATTTATATAATGCATATTAATATCATCTTGAAACTTGTCCCCATTGTATTTTTTCTGTTTGATTCCCCTTATGATTTATGTGGTTTTAAGCTCCAGATTTAAAAGGCATAAGATCGATTCATGTATAAGTCAGTAGCTGTGATAACAGAGAATATGCTCTTAGATAGGTTCATAAATGGTATTGTTTCACTGGTATATCAAGAATACTGAATGGCATTGAATTGTCAACAAAAATGAGCATACTGTTTATAAGCCAGGAAAGCTCGAGCAGATATGGTATGTGGATAGTAGTAAACTTCTTTGCTAGACAAAAAACACCTCCGACCCCCAAAGGAATCTCATTGATACATTTAGTAAAGTAAAAAGTAAAATAATATGTAGAAAATAAAATCACACTCAAATGGGTTCATCCCTTGGGAGCTTTGTTGCTACAAATACACAAACCTCAAAAAGGTCCTCTACTTGTTTTTTGGTTGGGACAAGTTAGGACTCTTAAATTCGAAGCAATGGAATTGATGAATGGATGCTATATTTCAGCTTAAAAGTGACAGTTAAAAATTTCAAGCCACTAAATTGATACCTAATTTCGAATCGCCTTGTAAATAATTCATAACCCTAGAGTATTAAATCACTATCTATCAAAATGGCAAACTGGGAGGCTGTCGAAGTTGAGCGTTTTTGAACATTGATACGCATATAACTCAATAACTAATCATCAGAACGTATGTTATAGTAATCTACTTACTTCTTTTGAAAGGGAGTATCTGAATGTGCAATAAACTATGGAACATTCAGCTTAAAAAAATGACAGGTCTTGACATTTTTTAAATGGAATGTATTTTATTACATATTCGGAAAGACCCTTCCAAGAGAAGCTAGATAACATAACATACATGATAACATAATTTATACTTTAGCCAAATAGTAGTTATATAAAGGGAAGATAGACAAGGCGAATCAAATTAGAGAGACAAGATCACTCCAAAGACATGGCGTTGAAAACCACTGTCTTGCACATGTTTGATTAACTAACACCACTCCTTTTTGCGTCGGAGGTTTGTAGAGGAATATATCTGTTCTGAATTACCATGTTTTTTTTTTGTCTAGCTTAGGTTTAATATTATTTTTATGCAAATTCAGAATAGTTATATAAAATTCAATTTTGATAAGCTAGAAAACCATAATAGCTGTACAAAATTTTAAACAAACCTATATTGAAACAAATTAGATTAGATTACAAGAAAGGAACCTAGCCAATGCTCCTTAACTAGACATACATTGCAACTAGTTTTTCGTCTTTTCCGATAGAATAAACAGTCATAAAAATTTTCTGAATTTGTATACATTATTATCATTGATTAACGCATTCTACTCGAAAATAGCCAATTTAATACACTATTCCCGCGTCATAAAATTATCCAATATGTAATGAGCTACTGTAGCATCATCGATGAGTATTTGTGTTATACAGGGTGTCCTGAAAGTTGGGACATTCCTTTTCAGAGTCAACTACGTTTGCAAACCAAAGCTTATTTGTGGCAAAATGATACCGAAAACGAAAAACATAAATAGAAGAAAGATACTCACAATTCCTTTGGTAAGGAATTTGAAGTACTGCACTGTCACATGTTTTGTTTGTTTATTACTTCCTAAATTCGCAACATTTGGCGCTGTCTAGGTCTTCAACTGTGTTCAATCAGATGGATTTTCACGATATACACAAATGCAGCTCTGATGGAAAGAAACATCGAGGCCGACGGACTGAGTACACTCGTGGAGTATCAATATGATCTTGAAGATACTCATCAAATCGATAACTACGTTATTGCTCTAGGAATGTGGCAATTTCTGTTTTTCAGTTACAGTTTGTTTATGATAAACACCGCGCAAAAGCTGGTTTGCATACTGACTGGTTCATTTATTGCTTTTTCGAACCTAATATCTCGGTTACCTTAAAGTTCGGTATATATATTACTAAAAAAGTCCCAACTTTATAACTTATATACTTTGAGGTTAGTGTCTCATAGATGGCGTTGTCTATATTACCGTACGTCTTAGAATGCAGTTCATAACTAGATTAGGTTGTGTGGTGTAGATCCTTGGTTTATGAGGAATGGTTAGCAGGGAAGCTCGCTATTGCCGTCAGTACAGCTATGACCGAGCAAGAAGTACCTTTGTCTATTGCATAACGGATTATAATAAAGTTTTTAACCAATCGTCTTGAATGTTAACTCTGTTAGATATATTTTACTTCTCAAGCGGAAGCACCCTCCCCCCTAATGGGCGCCCACGAAAATAGCTGTGATAATAAACTCTCATAGGTGATGCTAAGGTATCTCATTTCATCTCGGATAATTTTTCGGACGCGCGCATATAGCATTAGATTGGCTATCTGTACGTTAATCCATGGTATTATTTATTATGGGGTGCAAACATTCTAAACCAAATCTCGGATATGTAAAATATTTTATTGTTGTTGTGTTGGAATATGTGTACGTGAGGACAAATTAAATACAGAATGATTCATAAATATAATATATATTTCCCATCTATATTTAAGTTGGGATATGATTATAAAATGGGATAGTTTCTGTTCAAGCTTATTTATATTTGTTTCCAGTGAATCAGTTTGTATGATCAAAAATGTGTGTATTGTGGACTTTTTTCTATTCAAAAGTACAGAGACGTTGAAACATGATCTCCAATGAAATGACGATTTTTTTTGAAATTAATTACAAGATGCCTAGTTTTTAGTCTATCTTGTAAGTTATGGCAAATACCTTCACCAAAATTTTGTATACTTTCCAGATATGTTTATAGTTGAAATTAAAGAGGCTTAAAATACAAATATTCTTAGTATCTGTGCATGACTTTAATGGAATCTTGTATATAATGGAAGATATGAAAATTGACTGAATCCTATTTATTTTTCAATAACTTGCTGTAAAGTTGTTCATTTACTTTTTTAGATTTTGGGTGTCCAGTGACAAGGTATATTGTATGTATTATAGTTATTATCAAGATTAATTGTTGTTATGTTTTTAAGTAAACGTGTGACCATAGTGTGGAGTTAGGTTAATAGTATATATATACTTGAAGGATATTTTTATAATTTAGTGGAAACAACATTTTGTAAATATGTTCATAACTATTAATAGGTAGATGAACCCTTTCAATATGAATTTCTCTAGGTGCTGGCAGAATATTTAGTGGCGGAAACATATTTTTTAAACTTTGAGTAACAGCTTTCTCGTTAGAAAAATTATTGATGGTTTTCAAAGTTGATACGAAAACGTTTGAATATCTGCTTATTGATTGATGAACTGTACATAATGATTACCGCAGAAGTTTTTTTTATACCTGCCACTAATTTCACATGTAGTATTTTGAAAACAGCCTATTGAAACGTCTGGATACCGGGAATAATTCGGTAGATATATTGATTGAATAAGAAATGGATATGGAATATGAGATTCGGAGTATTGAATACGATGTGATTTTTATTGATTAGTTGTGTATCTGGGGCCTTGAGCGGGCGTTTATGACCGGTGACGTGAAATTGAGTCTAAGGTACATACCACCATCATTAAATTCGAGCCGAGACCAATGTTTTGTTGATAGCAAAGTGTATCAGCATCTAACTTTATTTAAATATGCACGGAGTCCCAAAAGGCATGTAAAGGTGGTAGTAGTAGTATCCTAGTATCCAATTACGCACGGCTTTTGAGTGATCGCCATTTTGAAGAATTTGTAGAAAATCGCCACTTGGGCAGGCGTTGGATGGAATTGAGTTTGCAAAATGTGAGGACCCCACTTTATCAGCTAAGAAAAGGTCCCCTTCCTCTTACGTATAAAGGAAATAGGTGATGATTGGAGCAATTTGATTGGTTATTTTGATTAATTTATATTATTTTTTAATTGAAGGAATAGGTTGTTAAATGAAGCAGTATAACAATGTTGTTAAAACAATATTCATTATCAATAAAAAATAACTTGATAAATACGCCAGTTTGACCCAACAAACTAGGTTAAAATTAGCTTTAAAATAAATTAATCTTCAAATATTCTTCGGGATCTTATGGGGTAAAGCTTTAGGTTCAATTTACATATTTAGCAACCTCAAAAATAATGTTTTTTAATTAAGTGTTTAATCATTGGACAATTTAAGGGTTTTCAGACATTAAAGGGCTTATAGCTCGAAAACGACTAAATTTAGAAAGCAATTACTGAGGACGTTTCTAGAGCAGAATGATCCGAGAAATCGGAAAGAAATTGCCTCAAAAGCAAAAGCACTTGAGAGGGGAGGGATTAAAAAAATGGACCATAAAGTGGCCCGGCAGGATCCGGATTATTATTATTATTTGAGTTGACATCTGTTCTTAAAGTAGGAGGACTGTGCATATTTTGCAAACTCAGTTCCATCCAGCGCCTGGTCTACGTCAGAAACATGCGCCTGGGTAATTATTTGAAATTGAATCCTTGCTTAGCATGTTCCGCGTCTCAAGATAGAGAACGAGGACGTCTCATCGTTACTCAAGGTCCCATTTAGGATGATGTTATAATAGGATTCCATAAGTGTAGGGTTAAAGCCTTTAACCTCCACAACAATAAAATCTTACGATTCTAAATAAATTTGAAAGTTGAAATTGATGTGGTGAATTTAGGCACTGCTTGAAGAAAAAAGTAGAAATGGGGTTTTCATGTGTTTAGCTAATATCATTTATATGTCATAATCCTTGATAGGAGGATTTAAAATAAAAATGTAAAATAGAATGTACAATTTCGATCATGCTGCCATCGTTTTTTTTAAATTGCAACTCAAACTGGAATTTGATCTTACATTCTTATTTGTTATATTGCTATGGAGCAAATTCTGCATTCAAACACTTTAGACATTTTCTTTAGGTTTTACATGTTTCTAAGGCTTTATAATGTTATCAAAGATCCAAAATATTTCCATGGTTTCTGAAATCTTATGCACATTAAACAGTATTTTCTATTTCAAGGAAGAAAAATAACATTTCTATTTTATGTTGGTATTAGTTTCTTGATAAATCAGTAGCAAATATGTGTATCTAACGTGAATGTTGTATCATCCATCTGCTTTTAATAGTTAGTTTGCATTTACAGTGTATGTGTTTGTAACGCATGCTTTTTTTTAAATCAGGTTTACTGAAGTTTTATTCCAAAAGCTTCTCCCTTAATCTGGCCAAGAAAATAATCTATCAGATGACTTTATTTGTTTTTTTTGCTGTCTAAACAGCGTTTTGTAAAGTAGAAAATCGGAAAATGTGAAATAATTTTGTTGTTCAAAACTCAAGTTATTAAATCATTTGACCAAATTAAAGGAGATGCCTAGATCAGGGAGACAACCACAGGATATTTTATAGAAGTTTCATTAATATAGATGTTATAGATGCATAACCTTAAATTTTACAGCTTTGTTATAGGTTTTCACATTTGATGCATTTTGTTAATAGTTTACACTATTTTACACATTATAATCTCAAAATACGGTTTGATTATTGTATGCGTAAAGGTTCAGACTTTACAGATATAGGATTAATCAATCATTTTATCTCATTCTCAGGCATCTGTCACAGTTGTTGATGTGACTCTATTAGTATTAGTAGGGGAGCTCAATATGGGATTTGATGAGGACGGATACCTTACCACCACATGCAGAAAAATCCATATAGCACTGAAGTTGCAATATGTACGAGAGAGAAGCATGCAATATGTATGTTAGTATGAGATAGAAGCACCACGTTGCCTAGCAGAACGAGTCGCCTCCACGGACGCAGCTGCAGCGTGTCGAGTTGCCATCGGCGTACTCTTTCTAACATACGTATTGCACACTTTATGCGCTTCTCTGTTGTACACATCACCTCGTCAGTGATATCTGGATGATCTTCAAAACTGGATAGGTCTGTACGACTCTCGAGTAACTACCCATTTAGCGTCTTAGGGGCTATATCACTACGCTGTATGGTTTATTTTGAATGTATTATTTTGTACTTTTTGTATGCAGAGCAATGAGGCGAATGTGACAAATATATTCTTAAGAAACAATCGCGTCGCATCAACAAATGTGGAAGGTGCGTTATTCAGAATAAGCCAGCTTGGATTTTTACACATCCGTATAAATAAATGTGTGGGACACTCCCACCCACTATGTGTTTTTGACTGGCTTTTATGTGAAATCATTATTTTTTCATGTTACAAAGTTCCAAATATTTATACTTATGAGGATACATGTGGAGCATTTAAGATATAATTATTTTTGTACAAGTATTTATTTAATTTTTTATCATTTTTCTGTATAAGTTGGATTACATAAATGGTATTTGTTCTTAGTAACAGTTTTTTATTTATATCTGTACATATTTTCTGAATGGTACTAAAAAGCAATAAAATTGTTTCTTCTTTTTTCGACTTTTATTTGAATGTGTTTCACGAAATTAATTTTATTTTTTCTTCCCACGCCATTGGCGGGGAGGTATTGTATTAGCGAGAAAATTCGGAAATGAGATCGTTTTGTTCCATGTTGTATGCAGCGGCGGCTCGTGGTCTATGATACAGGGGGTTCACAAGTGGTATAAAATAATTTTTTTTTGCCACCACCAAAATTTTTATGTAATGCGTGACGTAGAAGGCAATAAGAGTACTAAAACAAGCATCAAGGACACATTTTTTGTTATTTAAAAAAAAAATACAATTTTTTTAATGAGTACAGTGTTTAAACGTAAAGTCCATTCTCCTGATTTTATTTGCAGAAAATTTATCAATAACTAACTCGTTAAAGTTTGGAATACCCGCTATACATTTTTTCTCGATAGATAGCATTGCTAGCGCTGACAGTCTTTCCTCATTCATAGAACTTCGCAAAAATGTTTTTATTCTCTTCAATGTCGAAAAGCATCTTCCACTTTCGGCCGTAGTCATTGGTATGGTAACAATTATTTGTAAAAATATAAAGGTGGCAGAAAATATGCTCTGAAGATTATTTTCTATAAAAAACTGTAACAAACTAATGGCACCAGTCATATTCCTGAAATCAGGTCGCCGGTAAATTAATTCCAATTCAGTCTGGAGACGAACTTTATCTAAAAACGAATATGCTTCTACTACACTTTCCAAATATTGTAATGGAAAATGCTTTTCAAATTGTGGAAATTTATCAGAAGAAAGAAGAATAGCTGCATTTAAATGCTTTGTAAAAGAAATCTATCTGTTACATGTGTAATTATGGTATCACAAACTTCCTTGGCTGCAACAGCTCTGCAAATATGCTGGTCTTCATTTGCACGACGCTTTTAGTTTGAGTAGTAGTGGTATCTTCAGAAATTTCAGTTTCAATTGTTTCCAAGCAGTCTCTCTCTTTTTAGATGCAGTTTTCAAAACACTTTATGGCAGTCTGAATTTGCACTGGGTCAGTCACTGTTTTTGTAACTGATTATATAAAATATCAGCATGTGGCAATATTCGATGAAATACAGTTAGCCAGAACACAAACTTAGAATCTTGTAGCATACGGCCAATACCAGTGGCTTGATTGATGGTAACAGTTTGTTTTGAAGAAGCTTCTATTTTTTCCATGCATTCTATTAACAATTCGAAATATACATAGATCTGCTTTTAAAATTCCATCTTGTAACAGAAGACCTAGGAACTCTTGCACCAACAATGTCATCCAAAACTGCAACTCGTTGTGGAGAATGAGAAAAAAAATATAGCTTAAATTTGAAAAAAATACCCGTACTTCTTGATTTTGGCTTGTAGCTTGCAATAAAATCAAATTTAGCTGGTGGGCATAACAATGAACGAAATAAGCATAAATATAATATAATCACGTTGAATAAGAGCTTGAACACCTCCACGACGTCCACTCATTACACTAGCGCCGTCATAACTTTGAGCTATCAGTTTCTCTGGTTTATCTAGCACTTGTATTAAATTAGTTTTCACAGATTCTGAGAGACTAACTGCATCGTGGTCAGGGGGGTCACAAAATTCCAAAAACGTTCAACTGGCCTTCCATCTGGTAGAATGTACCTAAATACTGTAGTCATTTGATAACAATTAGCTACATCCGTTGTTTCGTCAGCCATAACAGCAACAAATTCAGCTTCCAAAATTGCTTTTCTTATATTTTCCTGAGCCACTTGTAACATGCAATCTAACAATTCGTTTTGAATGATTTTTGATACCCCTTTGAATACTGTCGATTTTTCAAAATGATCTTTAAGTGCTATATCGAATTACGCAGTGAAATTTATTAAACCTCTAAAAATACCAGGATTTGATGAACCATCTTTTCGTCGTGACCGCGGAGGGCTAATTCAAAAGCTCCGCAAAATTTTATGCAATCAATAATTTTTGAAAGCACATACCTATTCTTTCTAACTTGTTCATTTTGCTGTTGAATACTGCGCCTATATGCACTGTCCAACTGCTGCCGTATATCTACTTTTCCCAAAAGCTGCATTTCCAGTTGCGCATTGATATGGACTTGAGTGTTTTCATGTTTCTTAATTTTTTGTGCTAAATGTCCCAAGTCGGCTATTCCATTTTTTGTCCAGGCAGGCTCTGCAACCCCGTGACCAAACAACAAACAGGAAAAACAAAACAAACGGTTTGTTGTGCTGCATCCACAAATCCAGTTATTCTTTTCATATATTTCCATTTTAAACTTTCTAATAAAGTGTCTAGATTTACCCTTTGTGGTCTGAGTTAAGTTAATTTCTGGTGTAGGTTTTCCCGCATTTTTTATTTCAATTTTTTGCTCCAAACTCAATGAACTGAAGTTATGTTTCAAATATTCCATAGTGAAACCATTCATTTTAACTCGATATTTTATTAAAACACTGCTACGAACATCAAAATTCGAACACACCTCCGATTACTGCATAAAATGCATGCGCAACGGGCAATGGCGCACTCCAGAAGTGTGCGCCTTCTCCAACTAAAATTGCCATAACCCCGCTATACCCCGCAACCAGAACAGCAGGGTGAGAAACACACTAATCCCGCGTACATGATCGCATATGCGACTATTCGTCGTCATCCGCCGTCACCCGTCGGCGGCAGTCGGACCGGGCCAGACCGAATCACAAGTCGGAATCGCCCGAATCAGGCAGCGCAGCGGTAAGAGTGGTGACCAACGGTGGTGACTCACCAGTGGAGAGCTACTAGATCTTTGATTTTATACGATTAAATATCAGGGAGGCTCAGACTTTAGCCTAAGCAGCCATTGGGTACCGTGGGACTATAGGGGATACATGGGAAAGGGGGAACGCCGCACGGACTCTGGCGAGGAACACGTGTGCATGCTACATGCACACATTCTGACTCCGCCTACGAGATCTGCCGGGTAGTACCTCCGCGTTCGACAGTCAGTGACCGTCTACCACCTACGGACAATCACAACATCCATAGCCAGGAGAAAAATTTCTCCTGGGACGGGACTCGAACCGGCACAGCGCACGGCGACTGATCAGGAGACCGAAGAGCCTACTACTGCGGCCACCGCTGCTGAGATTTGATAGTTATTGGACAACTGTCCAATAGCTAAACTTGACCATCCAGTAGCCGAGTTCGGGTCTCTAATATTTGGTCTATATTTTGGGAACTAGCAATAAGGTAATACGACAAGTCGAAACTTGAATACGCTCTCAGAGACATACAAAACGGCACAGAATCTTACCTAATAACAGCCGAAAAAAAGTACGGAATTTCGAAATCCACTTTAGAATTTAAACTGAAACATCCCGTCATAAAGAAACCTTGGGTCCATCGCCAATCTTAACAAGTGAAGAAGAGGCTTTGATAGTTAGGTAATTTGTATTTTATTAGTGTCTAATAACACGACACTAATTTTATAAATATTTATCTGCAGCTGGATAAAAGATAATGCTGCAAAGGATTTTCCAAGAAAGGAAAACGATTTGAAGAATAGCCTACAAAGATTTTTGACTGTTAATCCGCGCCCACACAAATTCAATGATAACCGACCTGGAGATCGGTGGGTTAAGGTATCCCAGCAAACAAGTAATGTATAATTAGTTACTACTTATAGATATTTTCAACGTTACAGGGATTCTTGAAAAGGCATCCCGATATCTCGAAAAGAACAGCTGAAGGGGTTATACTTCGTCCAGTGCATGTGCCTCAGAACAGGACATCAGAAACTGGTTTGTCAATATCCATGACTACCTCAAGCAAAAAAATCTAGATGTGCTTAAAGATCATTCAAGGATTTTAAATGCTGACGAGTTAGGATTTGAGATTTGTCCTTCCACTGGGAAGGTGTTTGCAGCAAAAGGGACAAGAAATGTGTATTCTGTAGAATGCGGTTCTTCGAAAGAAAACATCACCGTGTTGTTTACTTTCTCAGCAGATAGTACTACTTGCGTGCCAATGGTAGTTTTCCCTTATCAACGCATTCCTGAAAAAATAACTAAAGGTATTAATCCTAAGTGGGGCATAGGAAGAAGCGACAAAGGATAGATGACATCCAAAACATTTTATCAATATATAGCAAATGTTTTCTATCCCCATCTGAAAGAAAATGCCATCAAATTACCAGTAATCCTCTTTCTCGACGGTCATAAGAGTCACCTGAATTATCATCTGAGCATTCTATGTAATGAACTACAAATTGAAATCATCCTAATGCTACAAGGATTTTGCAACCCTGTGATGTATCCATTTTCCGACCAATCAAAGAAGCTTGGCGTCAGTCAGTACGAAAGTGGGAAGAAGAACATCCGGGGCAAATAGTAAACAAAGTCGTTTTTGCTGGTATTCTAAAAAATGCTGTCAATAAGAGCTTCAAAGCAGAAACAGTTGTAAATGGGTTTAAAGTCTGCGGTTTGTATCCTTTCAATCCAGATAACGTCGACTATACAAAATGTCTAGCAGTGGGGACCATGCAGCAACAAAATATTGGTGTATAAAATCTTACTCAGCACAAGATGATCTACGACAAGTTCGCAAGAATAGCTGGTCCCAAAAAAATCGAAATGTTCCAAAATATTGATGGAAAAACGGCAGAAAATGAAATTTCCGATGAAAATTTGCGTCTATTATTCAAGACTTGGAGATTCTTTCGAAACGGTGATACAATACCTACGGATATCACAGAGTCAACAAACAAAATAAGTATTGTACAAAATATAGTTATAGTGCCCCCACAAAAAATCCGTCACTTGCTTCAAATTCTAGTGAAACTGAACAAACCGCAACTCTTAGTCAACCGAGTACCAACAAAGCTACCGTCAATGTAATGTGTAAGCAAATAATTCCTCCCAATCGAGTCGTAGTTACAAACAATTTGTTAGGAAACTTCCTAGAGTCACCTTCTGCACCAGCAGAAAGGGTAAACGAAACATAGAGAGATTCTCTTTTGCTATCACATCTGAGCGATATCAGGAGATGTTCAGGAAAAAAAGAAGAATTAAAGAAACAGCAGGAAGAAGAGAAGGAAATTAGAAAAAGGAAGAAGCAGGAAAAACCAAACGAAAACAAGGTAAAGATAAGAATTCACAGACAGCAACACAGTGCTCTGCCTGCCTGAAGGGCATCAGATCTGGTGAACTACAATGTGATGACTGTAAACGATACTATCATCAAGACTGTGTTCCACAACGCCACGAACATAACATACCTAGCGATGACGATTTATATATATATATATAGACAGGGTGACTTTGAAGTTGAGTCATTAATTTTCAGATAATGATTGTAGAAGGAAGATAAACCAAAATATGTGTGTAAAAATAAAAAAAAAATTAAAAAAATGTTACCTTGTTTAATAAAGTATCCTCCCGACAAGTATTTCAGTGCGGACCTGTATTTGATCGTGCGGTCTTGGAGCAGCATGCCCTCACCTGTGAGGTCTTAAGTCACCTGATTCACGAGCCCTTTGTACTACATTAACAAAGGCACGAGGGGTTGGTTGCACTCGATTGGGAAACCGATTCGCATAAATCCGTGATGCATCCGGGAGCATTTTGTAAAGACTGCCCCCCCGTAAATAAGAATCATGTCCACAAGTTCAGCATTTTCGTAAACATGTGCCATTTTTGATTTCGTTTGAACCACGCAACACACTACTATTCACTTACGCGTTATCGACTGACGAAAAACATCGTGATAAACGTTTCAAATTCTTTCGCTTTTTTGTTTCCGATGCGATGAACCGGTCAGGCGGATTATATCCGTTGTCGCCAAACACGAGCATATAATAGGCAGGGCGGTACTCAAACTTCCAAAGGGCTATAACTTTGTTACTTTAATTTTACCAGAAAAATGGTAAAGGAAAAAAACATTTCTTTTGATCAGATCTACTCACTGTTAAAATAAATGACTCAACTTCGAAGTCACCCTGTATATGTCATAACTGCTACAGATTGAGTGATAGTGACGAGGATTGTGAAGATATTGATGATCAGGACGACGATGAATTATACGACAAATCAGGCAAAAAAGCATTTTACAAATGATTATACTATACTGGACACGGAGGTTTACAGTTCCACGGTCCGTCGCGTCAATCACTTGTCATCTGTCGACGCTTTATAACTTTCCGTGCCGTCCCCCTCTTCAAGTGTAACGGAAACAGAAGGTTAGAGACTGCATTCCCATTGTTTCAACAAAATGTCGTCTCACGTGTAATATTTTTAACTTGTTCGGGTGGATTGATATTTTTAACATTTAACTAAGGTATCTGTCGGTTTACAACAAATCCAATGTCCCCGTCCTTTTGTTTTTATACTGATTATAAGTTCGATCTTCTCTACGTTCGTTCTGAAACACCTTGTGGCTGCAACCTCACCGACGAGTAAGTTGTCTGACAATTTAAATCTGTCCTGTGTTCTTTGCTAGCCTCACAATTGTGTTTTCAGAATCCTGATGAAGGCTCCATAGAGAATGCCGAAAGCTTGATTTTATCGTCAAAAGAGTCAACTTAAGCCTAAGACTTTTGCCAATTTCCCAATTAACAATTAATTGTATTTTGTACCCAACTGGTCGTTGGCTTTGGCAATGACTACCGCTAATATATACAGGGTGACTTTGAAGTTGAGTCATTAATTTTCAGATAATGATTGTAGAAGGAAGATAAACCAAAATATGTGTGTAAAAATAAAAAAAAATTAAAAAAAATTTTTACCTTGTTTTATAAAGTATCCTCCCGACAAGTGTTTCAGTGCGGACCTGTATTTGATCGTGAGGTCTTGGAGCACCGGCATGCAGTCCCCTGTGTGGTCTTAAGTCACCTGATTCATGAGCCCGTTGTACTACATTAACAAAGGCACGAAGGGTTGGTTGCACTCGATTGGGAAACCGATCCGCATAAACATGTGCCATTTTTTATTTCGTTTGAGCCACGCACTATTCACTGACACTGACTGTATACAAATGAATGAAATACTTGTAAAAACATCGTTCCAAATTCTTTCGCTTTTTTGTTTCCGATGCGATGAACCGATACGGCGGATTATATCCGTTGTCGCCAAACACGACCACATAAGAAATGTTTTTTTCCTTTACCATTTTCCTGGTAAAATTAAAGTAACAAAGTTATAGCCCTTTGGAAGTTTGAGTACCGCCCTGTCTCAATAATAATATTATGTGGTCGTGTTTGGCGACAACGGATATAATCCGCCGTATCGGTTCATCGCATCGGAAACAAAAAAGCGAAAGAATTTGGAACGATGTTTTTACAAGTATTTCATTCATTTGTATACAGTCAGTGTCAGTGAATAGTGGTATCTGTTGCGTGGCTCAAACGAAATAAAAAATGGCACATGTTTATGCGGATCGGTTTCCCAATCGAGTGCAACCAACCCCTCGTGCCTTTGTTAATGTAGTACAACGGGCTCGTGAATCAGGTGACTTAAGACCACACAGGGGACTGCATGCCGGTGTTCCAAGACCTCACGATCAAATACAGGTCCGCACTGAAATACTTGTCGGGAGGATACTTTATAAAACAAGGTAAAAAAAAATTTTTAATTTTTTTTTATTTTTACACACATATTTTGGTTTATCTTCCTTCTACAATCATTATCTGAAAATTAACACGTTGACTGCCAAGCAAAAAAACTTGTTTACCTCTGTGGGGCCAAGAGAAGAAATACATTTATTGGACTTAGATTTAACTTCCCATGCAATCAAAATTAAAATATCATTCATTTTTATATTTTTTTTGTGGTTTTTTCATGCTGGTCCCATGGGACCAGCGTGGCCCCTGTTGACAAAAATCTAGTAATATTCTTTCGTAGCGCCGCTGGTCCCTTGACGTTAGTTTGAGCGGCAATATCGTTCGGCAAATTTATAGGTTATACTTGCTTCTTGTACGACGTGTTGCTTGCTGACATCTTATTTAGCGGTTTTAGTAGTTTAGAGTATTTCTGCGATAAGGTAAGAGGTAGTATACTACAGTTTTTTGTATACTGTGAATTTGTGATATTATTTCAGATGTCTAATAGACCCCTGACGCAAAAAGAGTTAGAAGAGCTTGTGAACACGATTTGGGATTCTGATTCAGATGAGTCATTCATAGAACCTTTTCCAGGCTCTGACAGTGATTCATATCAACCATCGGATTCTTCAGAAACCGACTCGGACGATGATATTGGTGATTTATCGAGAGCAAGTAAAAGGACACAAAGGTTACGGATTCCATCATGTAATGGAGCCAGCACGAGTCGTGCACCTGAATCTGTAACCCAAACTAACCAAAACGAACCTGAAGCTGAAAGTTTGGGGAAGTCTGCTTCATCGGAAATGCCGGCGCCGGTGCCTACTGTTTCAACATATGGTGAGGGATGGGGGCCAATCGCAAGAATTTACAAAGCCATTCCAACCTATACCCAGTCATCTGGAATAAAACCAGAAGTTGCCGCTTTACTAGCAAATGCAAGTCCAGGACAATTCTATGAAGCTGTTGTAGGCGATTCGATTTTCTCATATATTGCGGATGAAACAAATCATTATTCTAGTTGTCTCTTACTTGAAACGGATGCAAGTGACAATTCCCGCTACCATAATTGGGTACCAACAAATAAAACAGAAATCAAACATTTCTTAGGGCTAGTGGCCTGGATGGGAATGGTCAAAGCACCTACATTGGCTGATTACTGGTCAACGGATCCATTATTCAACTTTAGTTTTCCTCGTTCTGTATTCAGCCGTAATCGATTTGAAATTTTACTTCGAACAATTCATTTTGCAGACAACAATCAAGCTATCGCTGGTGATAAGCTTGCTAAAATAAAACCTTTGCTAGACAAACTCCTGAAGAATTATAAAGATCTTTATACACCTGAAGAATATGTATGTGTTGATGAGACTATGTTGCCTTATAGAGGAAGATTGTCTATAAAACAATACATAAAATCGAAAAGACACAAGTATGGTATCAAATTATTTAAGTTGTGTTCAGGAACAGGATACACATATAATATCAAAATTTACGCAGGCAAAGAAAATGGCGAACGAAT